CTCTATACATACATTTTGACTTATTTATTTAACGGCTAATCCACAAATCCAAAGTAAGGTTTTTCGGGTAATAATAGTTATTATAACTAGTTCAGGCTTATATACAACTTATAATGGGTTTCTTCTCTTCTCTCTGTTTAGGTAAGATTTGACACAATTTCACAAAACAGATTTTTTGTATAAACAAATTTTCTCCTTTTTTATGAATGGAAACTTCTTCACAGTCACAACTGTATGATATTTTTATTTTATTTGCTTTTTGATTTATTTTTTTCAATTTTCACTTTTCTTTTTTTTTTCTTTTCTTTAATTCACTTCTCATAAGAACTCGTAAACACTTTGTATCGTATAAAGTTTTAACAACTTTTATCAGGAATTTCTGGAAATTTCACTCTTTCTTTCTTTCACATTTCTCTTTTTTTACTCTTCAAAAAATCTTTTTCTTTTTTCCTTGGTTTCAAATATAAAAAAAAAAATCACTTCTTTCGGTTTAACACTGAATGAATGGGTAAGAAACAGTCATATAGGCAGTATAGTAAGAAAAAAAATAATTTTATACGAGAGCGAGAAAAAAATACCTTCTTTCTTCATTGACGAACGAAACTTTAATGTGACTCAGTATACAACTTGTATTCCACACACAATAAATATGAATGTACGAACGAATGATGTGGAAATAACAAAGAGAAAAAAATTATTAATACTTGAAAACTAGTTGATTGAGCTATCTTATTTTTGCTGGTTTTTTGTTTTCATTGATCTAGCAATACAACTGAATAAATTAGACTAAAGTCTAACGCATATTATTAGATATAATTTACCGGAAAAATGCAAAGAATTCCACTGAAAAAGGTTTCTCTCCTGTCATACATTTAAATGAATAATTCAGGATGAATCGAACAAATTATAGAAAAAGTTTGATATTAAGGATGTCTTTATTTTAGACATTATTAATGAAAAACTCTTTGAGAGTTATCCAGGAACCTGAATAGTCAATGATTGTTATTGCAATAAAGCTTCTCAAAAATTCTTTAAGACTATTTCAAGTCTACTTATAAATGACCCCCAGCAACAGAATACCATAAAAATGTGTCCTTCATTTGCTTAAGATCAAGAATTCTTGACAACAAAAAAAAATAATTACATTCTCCAAAAGATATCGGCAAAAAAAAATTCAACAGAAGCAACCGGTCTTGGTAATGACATGTACACATATTAATGTAATGTATTTAATAAAATAAACACCTTTAGGATTTCATCATAAGACATGAATTTCAAGTAAACTGAATGGATTTTACAACTTTGAATTAAAAGTGAGACAATACTCGTAAAAAGTTTCCCACCTCAACACAAAGAACAGGCTATTGCAAGCACAATACACTATGTGTAAATAAATAAATTCTTTAAATACAAAAAAATGCTTATGTAGTGATTGTTTAAAGCTCTATTTGTAAATTTACTTTATCTAATTAAGAATTTTATTTTTTTACTTTAAATTCATAATACAATCATACGTTAGCGCGTGTCCTTAAACATTTAAATGCTTTACTTTTATGCATTAATGTTTGTGCCTAATAAAGGTTATTCACAATGTCTTTCATCTCATTCACAGCATCACTATTTGAACTTTCTTCTTCTTTCTTTCTTGTAAAACGAATTTGTGCGAAAAAAGAGAAGCCAAGAGTGATTAATACCGTAAATGATTTGGCCTGAAGATACCGTTATGACAGACATTCCGTTTGAAGATTCAATCATGCTAAATGATCAGTCAGTCATGGAGTCAATGAGTCAGATGATGTGCTCAACAAGTATTGTAGATAATGATAGATAATATTTATATCGAGGACATAGTCAGTTTCCTACAGATGTTTTTTTTTATTTACAGCAAGTTGTGTGATTAAATTATAAAGAATGTGTATTAGGCAGCTATTATCAGTGTAAATAGCAATTGCTTTGTACAAATGTTCAAGATAAATGTGAGTTTTGTGACACTCTAAGTGTCTGTCTGTCTAATGTGAGGGTTTGATGACATCGTGATCGATAATTGCATGTTTTATATCTTATGACATTTAGAACAAGTGCATCCAAATGAAGAATGTTTAAATTTTGATACTAAAATTCCAACAATGCGACTTCGTATTATTATTACAATTTTCAACAACACTTTTATTAACTCAAATCGAAATCACATGCTCAAGCACGTCATTGATATCCACGATCCACATATAAAGTTTATAATTTCAATATAATGATTTATTTTAATTATGATATGGGTCTCGACGTTTTTTTAAGGATTTTTGCTTAACGGAAAAAATTAATTTGAATTTTTCACTAACACTGTCATACAAAACATCAAAAATTAAATTCTCAAAATTCTTAATTATTCAATCATTAATCCAAAATATTATGATTTGAATAGGAAAAATAGATGATGCATTAGCTGTTTCGACTATTTTAAGAGCTTTCACATCATTATTGAGTGATATTTTTGTAACTTTTCAAATTTCATTTCGCTTTTGTTTGTAAACAAACAAATAACAACCAAAAAATTCAAAAAAGTCAAAACCCTTAAAAAAATTTAACTTAATTTTGTCCATTTGGGTAAGTTATTGCAGCAATTTTAAATTTTTTATAAACTCAAAAAGAACAGAATTGAATTTCGGACCTTAAAAAATACATTTGGAGATATATCAATAAACAATAATGAAGATATAGCAAAATTCCCAAAAATTGTACGTGAGTGACGCTCAGTTAAAGTGATTTTTTCGAGTAACTGTAAACTTTCATGAAGTGATTTATACAACAATAGATGGGGATTTTAATTCCCTTTTCAAAAAAGTAACTTAAATTTGTCAATTTTAAGAATAAGGAGATAATCAAGAGTAACAAAGCGTCACTCACGTGCAATTTTTTTGTGACGAGGCCCATATCATAAGTATTTTATGCATGCTCATTACTCACTATGTTAATAATTAATCAATAGACACACAACATTGAAGTGTGTTCACCTCTTGAGAAAGACAATAAGATCGCAAAGTGTGGAATCCGAAAACTTTCTCACTTTGCCCAATATCGATAAATAAGCCTAATGAGACTCATGTTTCACTAATAATGTTTTTAACATAATTTATATTTTTTGAGAAACCTTTCTTGCATCTCTTGTGGATTTATTGGAAATTATGTTTTTTTTTTTTACTTTTTTGTTACTAAAACAATTTAATATTATGAAATTTAAGTAATAATCAAAAAATCTTTCATTTTTCACATGAGCATAAAAAATCAAAGACTTGATGTTATGAATGTCATTTAAATGTGTTTATAGTGAAATGAAGTAATTTGGTGCGAAAGTAAATTTGATTTTTTTCTTATAATTTCTTTCAATATGAATAGACAGGCAGGGTATCATTTGTATAAATAGCCACTCTTTAACTCTTTCTCAGGTTGTGATATTCAAGGTGTGATTATTTTTTGGTATTTTTCATTCACGATTTGACTACATGTTATATGTATGACAAAAATAAATTACAAATAAAATAACATTATTCAGGATCAGAGCTCGAAGTTGACTCGAGATTTTTATCAATTTTGTGTGGTAGAGTCGACTTAGAGCTCTGTTCAGGATTTTATTTAATATGACAGAAAAATAATTGCCTAAGCTTTAAAGTTATCCATTTGTTCGATCAATATGAATCAATATTTGATCAATTGCAGTATTTTCGGACTATTAAAATACTTTAGAAAAAACTCACCCTGATTTGTTCTTAGTACTTAAAAATTCATCAGCTCAATCTTCAAAATTTTATTTGTTTCAAAAAATATTTCAAACTGTTTGCTTTGATGCTTACTATGATAACAAATTTTACAAGTTACCATCCACGTGCACTGAGTGGTTCCATCAAAATACATCGCTTCTCTTACTCTCCTCAATTTGAATCAAAAGACAACATGACTTTATGATCTTCCCAAAAATTATGATTATTGTGTGTGCCTTTTTCAATGAGCTTTCTCTACTTGTTAATTTTTGATTGTTTCATATATTTCTCTTATTTAACTGCTAATGATGGTTTCCTTTCGAATCTCTTGTCTTTTGTTTACACTTTATCGCAAACAGATCAAATAAGTTTAATGTAAAGTAGAAATATTACTTCATCGGTTTCTCTTAGTCTTTAATTGATATTCTTCTTCCTCATTTATAAACTATAGAGATGTTAAGGGTGTGATATGCTTATGACATTGACGAGTATACGGGCTGGTAAGAAATGGCATAAATCATAATACATTTCGCAATTGACTGATATGATGTAAGATGGAAAGTGTCCATTGAGAGAAATCAAGGTTTGTTCAGCTAATTTCTCAAGTCATTTAAATGATTTGGAATGATTCTTTTGGTAAATTTTGCAGGAATTTTGAAGATCTCAGAACAGATCTCGCATTTTATATTCACACCGTTTTCACGTGTGAATCTATTGGTTTTGTTCAGATTGAAAAATCAGTTTTTTGAATTTTGTGAGGTTATGGAGCAAGATAGCTTAAAATGTTCAGAGATAAAAAGTTTGTGCCTGGAATTTCACATCTTTTGCAAAAAACAGATTTCAAATTGGTTGCGGCATTGCTGAGAAAATACGCTTTCTGTAAGCAAACAAGCAAGCAAGTTAATCAGCAAGAAATCTCAATAACGAGACATCGTAGAGACTTCTAGTTTTTTACATTTGATGCGTGCTGCTCTATAGAAGAGCTGTATTGCTTTAAGGCAAGGTAGGAACATCCGTTGCTTCAGAAAAAGCAAAAAACGTTCCTTTCTTACGAATTTTTCAAAACAAAAGTTGACTGTGATTTTTATAAAGTTCAACTTTGGATGAAAATGAAAAATTGTAGTTTGAGATGTTATTGAAACGGATCTCGAACTTTACTTCCTGCAAAATCCTACTTATGCAAATTAAAGAAACATAAATTGGAAATATCAATCAGTTTCAATTGAGTTTTTACAGCCTTTAGCAACTAGCAAATCACACATTTGATCAACTAGCGCCATCTATTGCAATTAAGAAACAATGATGTGATTACTGATAAAATTCCAAAAGTTAGCAGCCCCTATATTTTTCATCGCTTTATTCGGGGAAAATTAAATAATTTAATTTAAAAGTAATACAAGTGTTTAAGAAGTTCTAATTACGTAAATTAAAGTACATAAAAATGGTGTGGGGATTTCAAACGTGTGGACCTAATGAAGCATTAGTAGTTTCAGGTAGGTTGCAAATTGACGAGAATCCAGCGCCATAGAGTCGCGATAAAAAATCGATATTTTTATGAGATACTCGGATCTTATATATTGTCATTAATTTGCAAAATTATTGCAGATATAAGGAAAAAATCTAGAAAAGATTTGATAAACTTTTGAAAGAAGAGTCAATTATCCACTCTATCTTATCGAATTAATGTTTTATGGCGAAATTCAGTTTTCACTGACACTTGTGTACTTAATTAATGATGTTTGGATGTATCACTAACACATGCTAAGTCGGTGACCAACCTTATTCTATTGTTTCGCGGATGATAATTTTGTGATTTTTTAAGTAAAACATTTCATTTTATGCTAGGATGTTGTCATATGAAGCCACTTCTTGTTCCTGGTGGTCGTGCATTTGTTTGGCCAGCTGTTCAACGGGTTCAGCGGTATGTTATAGATTTTGTTTTCATCAATTATTCATATCAATTAAACTAATGGATATGCTTAATATTTTTCAAAAATTAATTTATAGAATTTCTCTGAACACGATGACATTGCAAGTAGAATCTCCGACTGTATACACGTCACAGGGCGTACCCATAAGTGTTACAGGAATAGCACAAGTTAAGATTCAAGGTCAAAATGAAGATATGCTCTTGGTACGTAGATATCTGTTTTATATTATATCCAGTGTTGCATTCTGGCTATTTGTCTTTATCAGATAAATTCTGAGACAGAACTTTCTTCATAAAGATCGATTCTATATGAAGATAGAAAATCTAATCTACACAAAGATTATTTCTACTTAAAGATTCTGTCTACATAAAGATTCGATGTAGATGTCTATAATTCTACATTCTTCTCTGATGTAGACCTGGAAAAAATGTAGAATTGTAGACATCTACATCGAATCTTTATGTAGACAGAATCTTTATGTACAAATAATCTTTGTGTAGATTAGATTTTCTATCTTCATGTAGAATCGATCTTTATGAAGAAAGTTTCTTAGCTAGACAAAAACTATTGAAGAATCTACATTCTTCATCTAGTGTAGACATCTACATTTGCAACACTGTTTATACCCATTATACCACATTATACCCATAAAATAAACTTTTCTTCTCATGTATTATTGTTTCTTCTTTTTTTGTAGACTGCATGCGAGCAGTTTTTGGGAAAATCAGAATCTGAAATCCAACACATTGCATTGGTGACACTAGAAGGTCATCAACGTGCCATAATGGGTTCTATGACTGTCGAGGAGATCTACAAAGACCGCAAAAAGTTCTCAAAACAGGTTTTCGAAGTTGCCTCATCAGATCTTGTTAACATGGGAATCACTGTCGTCTCATACACATTAAAGGATATCCGCGACGAAGAGGTATGTCTTATTTCTATGGACATTATGACGAGTAACATTATTTTAATTCCTAACATATAACAGAACATATATTGAAAGAAAATGAATTTTTTTTATTGTCATTTACATTCTTTATTATATCCTTTTCCCCAATTTTTATGTCCTTATTCTCCTCCTATCAAAAATTTATATGTTGACCAACATCAAAAGTTGTTAGCTGAATGTTCTTTATGTTTAATTAACAACTCATTACTTCCCATCCCATAAATATTCTTTAGACCATGATGAAAAAAGAAGAGAGAATTAGTGACTTATTATTATAGATTATCATTATTGCTAAAAACTTATCAAATATTATATTTCCTTAATTAATGATTACATTATGCCACCCTTTGATTTTTGTCATCATAGGGTGCAAAGGTATGTTTTTATCCTTACAATATCTAACAGTATCATTATTTCTATTGCCGTTATAAGTTAATTTTCTTTTTTATTTCTATCAAACTTCTATCAACACACATTGATACACACCATACACAAGACTATCTCTATCTATTTTATCATAGATATTTTTGATGTTTCGCTTTAGTTACTCTGTATCTCATTGTATATCCTTCATGGAAAGCTTCTTCTTTTGTTTGAGTGTCACATTGAGAACATACAAAAACTCTAAACACAAAACTCACATTTTTATAGATTTTTAAACTATCTTGACACACATATTAAATATCAGAGTTTGACCTTAGTTCCAAAAATTTTAAAAATATATTCTATTCAGTATTATTGATGAGGTCCAACTCTGATTTTAATAAAAACACACATCATGTCATCATCATGCACGTTTTGAAAGAAAATGAACAAAAATGTTAAATAATGCAATGTAGATACACAAATTAATGAAAAAAAAAAATATCGTCTAATTATTGTTGAATCACTGAGTGTAGCGTGCAGTGGATTAGAAATACAGATATGTCATTCAACCTTCTTTTATTGTTTCATAAATTACTTTTTAGGGATACTTAAAATCACTTGGTATGGCTCGAACAGCAGAAGTAAAAAGAGATGCACGTATCGGAGAGGCTGAAGCACGATGTGATGCTACAATTAAGGAAGCTATAGCTGAGGAACAAAGAATGGCTGCAAGATTCCTCAATGATACAGATATTGCTAAAGCACAACGTGACTTTGAGTTGAAGAAAGCAGCATACGACGTTGAAGTTCAAACGAAGAAAGCAGAAGCTGAGATGGCCTACGAATTACAAGCTGCCAAAACAAAACAGAGAATTAAGGAGGAACAAATGCAAGTTAAAGTTATTGAACGTACACAGGAAATCCAAGTCGCACAACAAGAAATGTTGCGACGTGAACGAGAATTAGAAGCAACTGTTCGACGACCAGCAGAAGCTGAAAAATTCAGACTTGAAAAATTAGCTGAAGCAAATAAGAATCGTGTAATCTTAGAAGCCGAAGCAGAAGCTGAATCTGTAAGCTAATTGTGCTATTATCTTGAATAATTCATTTCTAATTTCCTTTCTGTGTATGAATAATTAACAGATCAAAATTCGCGGAGAAGCTGAATCATTTGCAATTCATGCCAAAGCTAAAGCTGAAGCCGAACAAATGGCAAAGAAAGCCGAAGCCTACAAAGAATATCGTGAAGCTGCCATGATTGAAATGTTGCTTGATACATTGCCTAAAGTAATTATTAGCATATCTTACTGTTTCTAGTTTGTTGAATTAATCCCCGATTCTTATATATTTAAGGTTGCTGCTGAAGTTGCTGCACCATTATCGCAGACCAAGAAGATTACAATGGTATCAAGTGGTAATAGTGAAGTCGGTGCATCTAAATTAACAGGCGAAGTTTTGGCCATTGTCGGAAAGATTCCAGAACTTGTTAAGCAAATGACCAACATCGACATCTCTAGGGTAAATCAAAACCATAAATACATCTAAAAATAATCATAACAACACACACACACATTGTACATTATTAACACGCAAAGTCATTTCATTATTTCATTTATTTTTTGAAACTTAATGCTCTTTACTTCTTGTCTTGTGAATGTTTTGAATTACAAGATTTAGTGCAAAAAAAATAGTTTTTCTAAGAAAATTGAGTGAAAAGTGTTCATTAACTTAAAAAAATGAATTAAATGTGTGATAACTTTAACAATGTCCTCGACTTCATGATCGATAAGCTTTATTAACATTTTAATCTAATGTATCATAAATGAATAATCACACATTAAATACAATTCATTAGCGAAGATAAATATAAGTTTAGTCAGTGGCAAAATCATTCTTACTTCCTCATCTAAAAATAGAACTCGATTATTTTAAGACCAATTTTACATTTTAGTTGCTAAGGATATGGTACCAAGTTTAATTTGCAATTTAAAAATGCTTAATTATTATTATTTATTTGTCGACGTTACCGTCCGCAAGAATTAGTATTTATGCATGTTTTACTTTTTACATTGATTAGTGATACATTTCATATCACTATGGGTGACGTAGAATCAAGCTTATAATCTTCAAATCTAGGTTTCGATTAAATTCAGGCTCTCGTTTAAATCTTCTGTGGGCGTGACGTGATACATTTCAGGTCCGTTCTGACAATATTCCATTATAAGGTAATCTTGTAGCTCTCGTTCCTATTTCTCCCGCTACACTTCAAGTTCCTGATCCGTTCCTTAATCCAACGTTGCCCAAAATGCCCAATTATGACTTGATCTCGTACATTAAGCAGTCGAAGTATCTAAACTTCTGAAAAAGAACAAATTTGGAAATGGCTGGATTCGAACCGACGACCTTCGAGTTACCATACCAAATTTGAGCCAAGCGCCTTACCTATTCGACCAGCAAGGCACTTAACTGCTTATGAGCAGTTATTCTAGTCTAATGTCCCGTTGCATGACAAATAAATAAGTGTATCAAAGATACCCGTCCGTAATTATGCTTGACAATCCTTAGTTGATCATTATTCATTTCTAATTTTAAGAATAAACGAAAAAATTATTTATTAATTTATTTAATTTCTTTCTTTTTCTGTATTTTATTTTTCATCTATAGTCTGTGCATGCTGGCTAAATAAGTGGTAACGATGAGAATGAAATACATTCTACCATTCACATTGTTGATTGTGTGTAGTAAATGGTAGACCAAAACAAAAATTTTCTTTCCGTTTTTTCGAAACAATTTTGTGTAAAGATTTGTGTCTTTTAAAAAAGAATATTAAAATATTGTTAAGGTGAGTCATCGATGAGGAAAGGATAAAATTAACGATTGACTTGTGTTTTTCATTAAGAACTATTATATAATTAATAGATGATATTAAATTGCACTCACTGGTTTTTCATGATTTATTCCAAGATGGAACCACCACAATTAAAATCAATTTTTATGTTATTTAATTAAAATTTATTCAATACTACATAAACGTAACATTCATAAATTGCATTTTATTTTACAACACTAACAGATTTATAGAAGATTGTGAGCACATTAAACCGTAAAAATCCCATCAATAAGACTTTATTAGCATAAAGTTTATAAATTTAAATAACAACGGATATGTTCCCTATAATGACTGGTTCATTACTTATTCAAAGCATACAATATTTAAGAATGTCAAAATATGAGTAATGGGCTATTTATAAACATTAAACGAAAGTAATTCACGCCATTCAAAATTCCTGCTATTTACTCCGTACATTCTATCGTAACCCTTGACCATTTTAATGGATATTCAATGTAGAATCGTAGGTAAAGTCATGGAAACTATTAATTTTAGTGTTTGTGTTCATAAGTGAGCAGTTAAAGTCTATGGAATTTTGTTGCATCTTTAGTTCCCGTTTCAAAAGTGTGGCTTCACATGATCATCATATATTTCAATTTTTCAACGGAAATTTTCACTTTTCACTGGAAATTACAATGCGAAAGAAGTGTGTCATTTCAAGGTCGTCTATGTTTACACTTTTTGCATTATTGTCAAGGTCATGTTTCACAACTTATGTCCATTGCTCAGACAAGCTTGATAAAAATAAATGATTGATTGTCGTTCGTCCCACACAAAAGGAAAGTTTGAGCTGACATTATGATAAAATATGAATGATTCCAGGTCAGAATCGGAAGATGATATTCAAGACCCTTTTGACAATGTGCTTTTGTCGAGAATTGATTTGATTCAAACAGATTTGAACGTTCTTAATTATAGAATAATTGAAGAAAAAAAAACACTTGCGAAAATGAAGTAACTCACAATCATCTATAAGTCAGTACACATAAACAGCAGAAAATAAACAAATATCTTTTCCTTGAATCTCTGTGCTGCCACTATTTTCACAAAATAATATAAGATATTAATATACTAGATTCAAAAAGTTTATTTCGAGGAAAAAATGATCAAAATATTTCTTGGTCAAAAGTTTGATTGATCTTTTTTGACCAAAGAAGCTTTACGAATGGTAAATTAATTTCAATTTTACCTCCTCGAATCATCTAAAAAGATAAATTTTTTACAATGAAAAGCCCGACAAAAACCAAAAATATATTTTGCACACAAATTTAAGCATTTTCTAAATACCTATGAACGAGACGTCATTAATACCTACTCCTATAATATACTTTATACCATTTTTAAATTACCCCAGTTAATTCAGTTGGTCCATGTTTGTATTTGCCATTTCCAATTTTGAAGCGATGAAATTCCTTCTTGTCGTGTATAAAAGAATGTTTGAGAATAAACAAAAAAAAAGATTAAAATATTTTCTGTATCTGATGAGTAATCCTGAATAAACTGAAACAAAAAAAAATGTATTTACAAATGGATCGAAATGTGTTGATTTAATTTATTGCCAATGATTGTTCCTGTTTATCTTTCAGCTTTTATAGTAATTGAAGCAATAAAATTGATAAGAAGTGTGGTATGATTAGCTGTGTCTTCATAATGATGTCAACATTAGTTTGTAGTAAGAACAAGTATGTGATGAACTGGAACCTGAAAGACTTGAATAATCTAAAACCAAAGGTTTATTTTTACAGTTTTTTTATTAAACGTTTTAATTTTTTATATCAAATATAGAATTTTACTTCTTTTTTCATATCAAACTAGAACAAAAAGTCTCTTACGAAATGTCTTATGATGTTATAGTTTTAGATTTTTGTTTAACAAATCTTTCATCATTTTCATTTTCAATAAAAATTAGTTTTTAGAAGGAAAATCATTTTCATTAACTTAGAGCTGTCATCTGCTGTATTTCTAAGATGAACTTTTTAATTATTAACTTTAACAAAATTTTCGTGAAAAAGAATTCTTTCATATTTTTAATATTTTTTATTACTCAACAGCAAAAGGACTTTGATTAAGGAAGAGACACATTATCTTCCTATTATTTAAAGTGTAATAATAATAATAATATTTAATATATATCGTATTGCTAGATAACTTTTTTTTCATTCTTTTTCAATATAAAAAAATTCATGTTTTTCTTGCTTCTTTCGCAATAAAATTATTATCATCCAATATTTCATTATTTTCTTTTTTTTATCAATATAGTATCCTTATATCCTCTTAAGAATGTCCATATTAATTTGTGTTTTACAATTTTAATGAGCTTGGGGTCAATTTTCTCTCATGTTGTGTATGTGTGTGTGTGTGTTTTAGTTCTTGAAATAGTCATCAATATTATTTCATTTCACTTTTAGTGCTTTTTCTTTTCTAAAAAAATGTACAAATGCAACAGTTTTCACATTATATATTAAATTCATTCAAGTTTCTCTAAATTGGGAACAGCATGAAACCCATTTTGATTATTCATCAATAAAGTCATCGAAATCAACAGGAAATCGTTCGCAAGTGACGTCCTTTAAAAGTATGTGACAACTTCACTTGCAAACAATCTCAAATAAAAAGTTTCATTTAAAATTCAAATTTCTATCAAGGCGGAAGATGACGACTACTTTTATAGGAATGTTTATTAGATTCGCGAAAGAATAGGTATCCAAAGATGGTATATATTGTGCTTCGATGTCAAAATAAGTTTATGTAAGAATCGTAGTATTCTTAAGTTAATGTTAAAGTTCTTGATTTTCATTACCTATTTTGAGTTTGGTTGGATGAAAATTAAAGGAATGAAAATCGAAAATCTCTTGTGACAAAATTGAAAATTGCACGATTTGATATGAGACAAACTATATTAAAAATTGGTAGAAAATCTGTTGCATTCTTACATTGTATGTATATCATATTTCATTCTCACTTTTCAAATGTAGTCTACATATATAACTTTAATATCTCATTATCCGATTCCATTGTCCATGAATTTGTTTTTGCATTTTTTTTTGTCAATTTTTTGATGATTTTCCTTTCTTATAAGAGCCTATAATTATAATTAATTAATTTGAATGGATTTTGACAATCATGATTCTTCATTTCTTCTTCCTTCCTTCTTGTAAGTTTCAACCTTACTTTACTTTTTTTTTGATTAATAATATATTATTTCGTGGTAGTCTTATCAACAAAGAGAACAAAATAGCTATCTACTGTTAATATCTGTCAAGTTATATGTGAATTTTTTTTTGTCGTAAATGACGAAGAATAAGAAATAAAAATGCTGAGCTACCGCCAATTTGCTTCAGCTTGCTCTAAACGTAAACTATTTAACTCGATTCATATTTCTTTTTACAATTAATATGCGAAAAAATTAATTAAAAAAAGGTTACCCGCGAAGAGTAAAGGAAGAGTTTTTTTGTTATGTAACAAATCGAATCAAGACTTAACGATTTGGATTCCAGGCTGGAAGGGTAGATGTTTCTGGTTTACCTCCAAGGCCGAAATCAGGGAAATCAATTTGAGAAGCTGTGTTTGGTGCTTTTTCCCATGGTGCTCCTTGAACAACGAATCCTTTATTGTTTGGCTGTTGTTGTTTTTTCATGGCATTTTCGAAAAGATTCTCGTAAGTTACAGGGCCAGATTTTGGTGCTTCTAAAACATCTTGCAAGTACTCTTCTTCCAAATTAAGCAAGTGATCGCGGCAGCTTTCGACATCTTCTTCCTTACCGATTACTATATTACAAATAAAATTTTGCGTTAGTTTAACGGAGATATATTAAATTTTAACAAACATATATTTTTTACTATTTTGATAAATTCGTTAAACTTACCGGTGACTTGATTCATGTTGGCATCGCCTTCTCGTGGGAATTTAATGTCGACCTTATAATTCTCCATAATTTGACGCACATGACGACCGCGTTGTCCGATGATACGTGAGTGTATGCGAGCATCTAACGGTACATTTTCTTTTACCATTTCATTGTAATCACCGACAATCTTTAATATTTCATCGCGAGCTGATTTAGCATTTGTTTCGTATCCCTGAATTTTGATGATATTGCTCTCTGGATCTTCCTTGCGTGGGAACGAGATTTGTACATCATGATCTGAACGAATCTTATTGATGACTGCACCACGACGACCGATAATTTTAGGATGTAAATCTGGCTCAATTTCGAGTTTTAATTCGAAGCTGCGTAATTCGCGATCTGCACGATCCTCTTCGAGTTTCTTAACGCGATCGGATATTGCTTCCTTTGCATCACGGACATTTTTAACGGCACCAGTTACTTTAATAACATCTAATTTCTTGTCTTGTGGTGATAATTCAATATGTACGTCATAAGTATTCATTAATTCACGTACACCTCTGCCTTGTTGACCAATAATAGAACGATGTAAATCGAATGGAACATCAATCTCTTCAGTAATTGGAACAAGTTCTAAAAGTGCCTGTTTTGCTTCCTCACATTTTTCACGCTTTCCACTAATACGGATTAAATCAGCAGGATGAGCATCACCATTAATATCTCCATTGCTTTCCATTGGTTTGCGATCAGGGAATTTGATTTGAACATCAAAATCTCTTGTAATGCCTTGAACTTTTGCACCACTTTTACCCATAACACTTCGATGATGAACTTGTGGAATAACACATTCAATTGTAACCATTGATTCTAAATCACCAACAATTTCAATGATTCGTTGTTTTGCTGCTTCGATGCCTTCTTTTGGACCCTTTAATGTTACACGTGTTGCGTCCGTTTCTGTCGAACGTGGGAAACTAATTGTAACACCACCACATTCCTCACTAATCTTATTAATAACTTCTCCACGACGAGCAACAAAATGACGATGATATTTAGGCTCAACATCCATTTCACTTTCTGCGTTATTATTAACTTCGCGAATGATTGCTTCCAATTGTAATTTTGCAGTTTCAACATTTTCTTTCTTGCCAATAATTGTAATAACTTCCTTATCCTTGTCATCATTTGTTGGGAAGATAATTCTTGCGCCTGTTTGTTCTCTAATTTTCTTAATGGAAGCCCCTTTTTTGCCAATTAGGAAGCGATGATGTTTTGGATTGGCACGAACTTCGGCAGTGAAACTTGACAATTGCTTCTCGCTACTCATTTCAAGCAATGTATGTTTAGCCTTTTCAACATCATCCTTTGGACCACGAATTGTAACTTTATCGCTCTTAGATTCAGGTGTTGGGAATTTAATGGAAACTCCGCCACATTCTTCCATAATTGAGTTGATCAATTTTCCTCCAGCTCCAATAATGGAATTGTAGTATTTTGGGGGAATTTGAATTTCCTCTGTGATAATATTTGCAAGCTCATTTTGAATCTTCTTAATACGTTCGCTAGCTTCTGTTACATTCTCCTTTTTCCCTGTAATAACGATGACATCATTATTCTCATCACCTTCAGCTGGCAAATCGATTTCTGTCTGTGTTTCATCGCGAATTTTCTTGATGTTAGCACCACCTAATAATAAAAAATTTTAACGGTGAATTTTTTTTCAAATTTTCAACGGATATACAGAATTTAAAATAAAAAAGTAAATTTTGAATTTTGCTGAACCGTTATTTTTCGTTAAATATTTTTCTTACCTTTTCCGATAATGAATTTATGGAAACGCTTGAAAATTGGCACTTCCATGACAAAGTTGGATTCTTGCAATTCCTTAACGACTTTCATTAAATGCTTGTAGCACTTATCAACGTCATCTTTTGGTCCACGAATTTTAACAACATCAGATTTTTCACTTGGGTTTGGGAAGGTGATTACAACTTGGTTGAATTTTTCGCGTATCTCACGAATACGAGCTCCCTTTGCACCAATAATAGTTCTGAACAAACGATGATCAATGATAGCATCACGTTCTCGCTCATTTTCCAATTTCTCAATCATTTCAAGAAGTTCTCGTTGTGCTTTTTGGACTCCGTCCGGTGAGCCTTCAATACGTATTGTACTGACTTTATCCTTTTCTTCGATGTTAATAACAACATCCATTTCATCCTTAATACGATTAATATTGGAACCAGCCTTGCCAATAATATGCTTATAATGATTTGGATTAACTTCCATTTCAATGAATGTTAATCGTTCGATGTAATTCTTTACAGTTTTTTCCAATTGTTCAACAGCATCTGGAACTTCAGATGGTGGACCTTCAACCTTAATTGTGTCGTCTTTAAATTCAACATGAACATTCGGGAAAGAGGATGTTAATTCCTTGATGCTAGCACCTTTGCGTCCAATAATATATTTATGAAGCCATAATGGACAATCCAAAATGCGTGATTGAACAGAATTTGCCTTTTCATAAACTGTAGCGAGAGCATTGCCTAATTTCTCATGAGGACCACGGAGAATGATTGTATCAGTAGCTGCATCTGTTGATGGCATTTCAACACTAACGCCAGTAATACGTAAAATTTCTTGAATTGTTGTACCACGTGGTCCAACGACATATTTGTGCTGAGCACGTGGAACTTCAACGCCAACACTAGTACATTTCTTTTCCATTTCCTTATGAATGGCTTCAATACGTGTCTTAGCTAATTGTACACCTTCTGTTTCACCAGTAATAACAATATCATCTTTCATGACCGATTGTGGCGGAATATTAATGCGTGCACCAGTTTCTTCAACCATTTTAGCAAGATTCTCATTATTTGGTCCGAGAATGAATGGATGATAAATCTTTGGGACAGTAATACGTTCAAATGCCTTGCGAGATTGTTCATCACTCGTTGTACGAATTTCATGTTCAGCTTTTTCAATGCCTTCCTTAGTACCTTGAATTGTGATAAGATCACTCTCTTCGCTTATACTTGGAACATTAATTTTCGTAGCTGTAGTCTTCTCCAAGTCACGTAATCTATCTCCCTTCTTTCCCAAAATCCAACGATGATGTTCACGTGGGATTGAAATTTGCTTACTAGCTTGCGTTTGGAAGTGAATGAAAATCTTACGGCGAGCTTCCAAAACTTCATTAGCCTTTCCAGTTACCAAGAATGTCAATGATTGGTCCTTGCTGCTTGTAATCTCAATATGAGCGCCAGTTTCTTTCATGATTTGTTGACATGTTCTGAGCGATTCTCCCTCACCAAACTTGTCATTCTCGTACTTTCGTTCTGATGACGGGACATAGAAAACCTAAATAAAATTTAAATTACAAATTAGTTTCTTTTTGTTCAGTTCAAAGTTCGTGTTTTTCCAGCTCAATTTTTGAATTAAAAAAGACCATTAAGTTTTTTAAAATTTCAAGAGACGGTTAAAAATTACCTGAGTCACGACAGTACTTCCAATGCGCTTGATGTTATTGGACGCAACGGCAGCTGGGAATTTAGGTGTTGCGCTCTCAGGAAGTGCGGGAAATAAATCATCATAGCTAAATGCCTGAGCACTGTTGGATGTTGTCGGTTGTTCCATAACTGAACAATTCATTAAAATCAATTAAAATCATGTTTAAACAAATTGAGTGCATTTAAATCTTACCCTGATCTTCCATCATTACTTTCTTGTTTTATTACTTTTTTTTCGCAGAAAAAATAATTGTGTGTCAAAATATAATTTACTTTCTTTACTTTTGTTTCCTCTCCAAAAATGCAAATGTCAATGATTTAAATGAAAAATATACCAAGATAACGTATAAATTTGAATATAATGGGTTTTAAATCCTCGTAGATATCAAATTGTTTAGTAGAAGTGTCCTTTATTCGTACCAAAGTCGTTACAGTACCGCTGTAATAAAGAAAACGAACATATGATGATTAAGTAAAAATTATGTGCTTAATTCAATTGAAAAGCAACGTGCATTAGACAACATTGTCAGTGCAGCAGGCAACAGAATATAATAAAAGAAATGATGATGATAGCGATTGGTAAGAGTCAAAAAAAAGTAGTATGTGAAAGAACGATACGAGAGAAAAAGATCCGTTATCATCCATAGAAGTGCTCATTACATAATTTCTATATTTCCATTTATATCATCGAAATATGAACTTATTTCAATGAGAAATGTGCTACGCTCATTATTAATGTACAGGGGGCTTACGATTGAAATCAAATTTCTTTAATTTTGTATAACATATTTACAATACAAAAAATAATTAAAATCTTGTACAGAAACAGTTTTTAGCAATTAAAATTGAATCGATTAAAGTTGAGGACCCCCTATAATTCAGAATCTAACGCAGACAGGCTCACATTCGACTATGCATTACTTAAATTTATTGATAAGCGATGTATGTATGAGAACATGGCTTGCCCTAAGAGTGTATGGGAATCACATGGAAAAATAATATTTCGTGGCAGTTCCAAAAGATGCCAACATATTCAAAAAAATCATCTATTTTCATTGTATTAGCATTTAAGATGCGTGAATGAGTGTTTTTTCGCCGATATGCGATTTGCACTGAGCTATTGCCTTTATTCTTTTTCATATCTTCTTCATACTCTTTGCCAACTTTAAATTGTGCATCTTTATCTCATTGGTCGGAAAACAAAGAAATGAAGATTTTTTTCTTCTTAAATCTGGCTAGCTGAATGACTAACTGGCTCTCTCTCTCCTGTTCATTCTTGATTCTTTTTTTCTTGTGTTAAACCGGCCTGTTTAACTATTAATAGCTACATTCATTAACTGTATATGTACACACATCACATAGAAGAGAACCAGCAACAGACGACGAGAAAAATGTACAATAATAAAAGAGAGATGTACAATGTGTATTTGCTACGCTGCTTTGCTTGCTGCTACGTCAGTTCGTAAGTAAGTAAGTAGAATGTTGGAACAAGCATGCAAGCTTACAAACAAATCTAAAATGTGAATAAACCTCTCTGATGAAGATTCTTTTAAATATCAAGTATTTATTTCTAGCTGATAAGCTCACACAACATTCTTTCCTCTCTCTTCGCTACTTCTTTTTCTTATTTTTCTAACGTAGTAGGTACGTATTAGAGGAAGAAGGAAGAAAGAAAAGTTTTCAAAAAGCCTGACTTAGTCTAATATAATTTCTCTTGATTTCCTACTTTAAACTTAATTCTTTTTTATCGAATAACGTAAACTTTTACATTCCTCGATTTATGTTCCACTTTCTTTGCACTGCAAACGTGTCAGATAATTCGGAAATGTGTGGCAATTGTATATGCATGCATGTCTCAAAGCAAAAATAATAATGACGACGACGATGATGACAACGACAGCAACTTCAGATCAGATGAATATATATATATATATATATATATACATAAAAATATATTTTTTTCCTCTTTATTTCTTTCTGTCCCGTTCCGTTTCTCTTTTTTTCTTCTACATCATTTCTTTTACTTATACGTGTCAGGGCACAAGGAATTTTGTTACATCAACACTCTTAACATCCACAAATTAGTCAATAATACAATAGATACGATAATTTTAAGGTTTTCTGATAAGGTTCAGAGTGCAAAATTTTGTTCCATATTGTTTTTTTTTTCCTACACAATATAACCAATTTTCCAAAAATGCCGATTTTACACGATTAAACCTATTTAATTCATTGAACTTTGCATTATTTTACACTTTATGATACTTTTTAAGCATTTTAATCCATTGGAATTAACAATAATGTGGATAATGTATGTTAAGATATTTTGATTTCGTGGCACATTTTATTATTTCATGACTTTTAAAATCGAAATAAATCGAAAATTACTCACAGAGATACTGAAATCCAAAATTCCGGCCTATGATCCTTTTAGTATATCCAGATTTAGTAGATATAGATTTACTAATCCTTTAAATTTAAATAAATTACTGCGCGACTTGTTAATCGTCTCAATTGAATATTTTATGGACAATTCCACGGATGAACCCTTTTTGCGAAACTTTTTCTCGCTTCATTCAAATTTTCATCGAGCGTTATACATAGATATGATTTTACTTCTTTTTGTGGCATTCTCGTTTTTGTTCTAATGGATGTTTCGACTAATTTGTGTTAATTCTGATGATAAGTCATTGAATATAAAGTTAAGGAATATAACAGGAAAGGTAATTGAAAAAAATTATAACTTAACGAACTTTAACGAACATGACGATTTTGAAAACAGCAGGAAATAGTAAAAAAATCATTTCATTCATTGCTCTTTAGTATAATATTTTCTTTTTTTCTTATAGAAAAATACCTTTAATTAATATTTCTAGCATACAAAATGGAGAGTTCGGACGGGGAGATCAAGGATGACTTCTCGGATATATCGGAAGAAGATTATTTCGACTCGATAGCAAGCAAAATTGAGAAAAGGAAATTGGAACTAGAACTTTTAAATTCAATTGAGGCTGTTTATGGTAAGTTATAGTAGATTATTATTTGCATAATTCGAATGTTAATTCTCCTAGTTGATGACTATGCCAAGGAAAATCGTTTTGAGAATCATCGAAATAGACAAAACACATCCAGAAGTAATTTTCGAAAAGAGAAATCCAGAAAACCACCACCACATAATGAAATACGTAATCGTGCTTATCGTGCCTCATCGATATTTTCGACTGGCTATACATTACCAAAGCGAAAAAGACAACGAAGAAGACGAAAGTACTCAAAACTTAAATCACCACCACCTATTGTCTACCTTAGTAGTCCAGAGAGTCCAGAATCTGTCGTTGAGGTAAAGGAATCTGAATCTGATGAGGAATTACTATTAAGACTACAAGCATTAACTTCAAAAAAAGAAGTTAAAAGCTTAATTGAACCAAATCCAAAAGTTGAAACTATTGAAACACCACATCCATCACCAACTGAGCCAGCATTACAAACTAATAACAATAGTAATGAAGAGGAACTGCTTAGAATCGCTGCCTTAAGATCCGCTATATTGAAGAAAAAAGATCATTTTAGGAAGAGGAAGCAACTAAGGAAACTAGAAAGTGAACGTCCATATAGTCCAGATAATTTTGAGCCAATAATTGATGTTGCAATGGATTTAAGTAACTCCCCATTAGGCTCACCATTCCACAATTCCTGTGATATTAATGAGGAAATTGATATGGATATTTCAAATAGTCCATCAGAAGTTCATGAAAATCTAGAGGCTTGTGACATGGAACTTGTATATTCGCCACAATCAAAGCATGAAATTGTAAATGAGGAGAATGATGAGGAATTGGAACTTCGGTCCATGCTTTTATCGTCTATAAATGTCAAAAAAAGAAAAAGTGACGATGATACAACTGAGAGATTATCAGAAAATGAGCTAAGTGAACCTGCATCTCCACAATTAGATATAACTAATCTTAAAATGGCAGTTGAGAGACTTAAACAACAGAAACACCATGTGCCAACACTAGTCTCTAGCAAGTCTGGAAAATCGGGAACTAAAACAATCAAAATGATATTGGAAGAACAAAAGAATAAGAAATTAATCAAAGATACTTCAATTAATGAAGTTGATGATGAAATAGTTAAGAGCACTGATAATCATGAGCTTACTTTAGATGATAATAATACATTAAGTGAAATTAAAAACGAACAAATTGCGAAAGAGGAGATTTTGGAACCGTCAGAAACTTCTCTCATTGACAAAATAAGTACCAGTCAATCACCACAAAATAATAGTAATGATGATTCAGCATTAGATAAAGTGTCTTTAACCATTGAGCCATCAGATTCATCATTTTCAACAATCACTGATACAAAAAATATTCCTTTGCTGCCAGAAAAGAAGAAAGTTGAAAATAGACTTGTTACTTCCTTAGATTCTGTTATACGACCTGTTACGCCACTCATTATAAAGTTATATTTTGATAGTTCTGAAGATGAATATGACAAGAGAGAAAAGAAAACGATTAGAAAAGTTATTCATGCTCCAAAGTCCTCAGCACCTGATTTTCAAATGAATCTTGACTCTTTCTTAAAAAATATTCGCTCACAACAAGAGCTGTCTCAAGTTAACAGAACAACTAGCAAAACAAGTCCTTCATATTTAAAAGAAAATGCTCAAATATCGCCAAAAACATCAGCAGTTAAGCATCTTCCGTTATCATCGCAAGTAGAATATGAGAAATTGGTACAAAAAATGAAAATTCTTCAAGAAGCTAAGCAACAAAGACAAAAGGCAGGAACTTTAAAACGTACCAAATCGTCATCAGAACAATCAAACCCGTCGCAAAATACCAATTCATCAAATTCCAGCAAAAACCAACAACAAACACAATCTGAAGATCAGCAAAAAGTTGTTGGTTTTAAAGAATTGGAAAACAAATCGACCAAAATTGATGACGCTTTAGGAAAAATTCCACTTTTGGACGAAGCTGCAAGATCAAGGCTTATCGAAAAGACTGAAATTAATTACCTTAATCATACGTTAGTATCCTGTAAAATTATGCTGTTTTTGCTTGTTTTATCCCTCTCAATTATTAATTTTCAGTAAAAATCTTCTGGAATCGACTGAGAGCAATATTAAGCTGCTAGATGAAAATAGTTTAGAGTTTAAGCGGAAAGATAAAATTGAGTCAAAGATTGCTGAATTTGAAAAATCTTTAATTAAATACAAAAATTATCTACGAGTCGTTAACACTAGAATTAAGACAAATACTCCAAAGATTTTGCAGTCACAACGAGATATGATAAAACTTAGGAATCACCAATTCAAGTTTGGTCAAATATGTCAGAAAGTTGGTGAAACTGTTCGAGGTGATTCTTACATGTAAGCTCTATTTCTAATCCATCTTAATCCAATGATTCATTGCATACAATTTACTCTATTATTTTGATCTTCAGTTTGCCAGACTGTGAAACTTCAAAGATCGAGAATAATTTCCTAAAGATATCAGAAAAGACGGAGGAGATACATAAAGTTGTGCCTGAAGATCAAGCATATGTATCGAAGCAGTTGAAACTCTTGGCTGATAAAGTCAAGGAATTTTCTCCAAAAGTAGATATTAGTAAAGAAATCGAGGCAACTAATAATGCTCAAGTAGATTCTGATGCCAAGAACACAAAACCAGAACGTGCCATAATTCGTAGCGTAAGTCAATTGATAGCAGCTTGTAATAATGATGAAAATGAGATAGAAGAGAAGCTTGAAAAATCAGAAGTAAGCGTAGAAGACGAGCAGTCAAAAGCACCAGAAGTTCATCGAAATGTAAAGAGAGTTTTAGAGAATATGGAATCGACAGTCTCCATGAAGAAAATGAAGCATTATGAATCGCCATTAGAGTTTCTGAAGTTACCTCACATGAGCAATCGAAAGTATGATATTAGTTTAGATTTTAAATTCCTAATCAATTTGAGTTTCTTGCAATATTTTCCTTATGATTTAACGTCAAAAAACATATTTGATTTTGTATACATTTAGAAGTGTGAATCAGATAATCTGCCCATATTCGATGGAAGGGACGTGTAATGACTTAGACTGTAAATACTTTCATCTTTGACAAACACAAACAGCGAGAAAAGATAAGTTTCAGAATACGGGGTAAGTTTTTACTAACATAAAACACAATTTAAACACAGACACCTGAAGTATCCTGAAAAGAAATAATAATAATATGAAAAGCACCAAAATTTTATGTTAAGTGATTTTTTTTTAAATAAACTAAATTCGAATGAAAACAAAAACAAGTATCAAGCTTCCTAGACAAGTATGAAAAAGTTGCTTTATGCGAAGACATGCAATAAATAGCATAGAGCATAATCTTCCATTATGTGTTGAATCGTTTTTTTATTACTTAAATCTTACTTTATTGATGAAAAAAGAGCAAAAGAATTTGAAATAAAGATATTTTAAAGAAATAAACTTGAACTGTTTTTATTGATGCTTTCAGGCTATTGGGATTTTATAGAAGCAAATCTTTCTGTCTGATCCAACGATTAAATATGATGAATGCCATGTGACATTTCCTGAATAGGCTATGATTTTAGTTGAAAAAAGGTTCGAAATTGTGCTCTTTTGATGTACTACTTTTAGTTCCGTTGCTGCTCTATTACAGATGACTGCAGAAATCAGAGGATTTTGTGGATGAATTGTTATTATCTTTCCCACGTCGTTGAGTCTCTTGCTGTAAATTGGTATGCTGAAAAATTACACAAATAGATTAATGTTATTAAAATATTAATAATAGCTCATAACTTACTCTGGCTTGGAAATATCAAAATAAAAGATTTGATCGTAGGCGATTGCAGCCACAATACATGGATTTTTTATGGACCAGTCAAAGCACATAAGTGGAGCATGAGTGTAGAAGCTGTATAGTGACTGACGAAGTTTCAAGCAGTAAATAAATAAATTTCCATTCTTTACACTAATTAATAGCTTGTTAAGCTCCTCAGGATTGAATTTTACGCAAGTTACAGAAGCTGAGAAATTCAAGACTGAATGCTGCTCATAATTGTCCTTGACTGAGAATATTTTGCATGTATGATCATCACTTCCAGATGCGATATATTCGTCAGAGAAGTCAATTGAATTTATGTAGCTACTGTGAGCATTAATTTTAGTCAAGCAGTTTGCTTCCGTTTCGTTTGCAGAAAATACATTAATTGTGTAATTTGAGCATGATGCAAAGACGATGTTTCTGGCTATAACTTGTGAGCAAAACTTTAATATTTTAGTCTCACTTTCAGCTATTTCCCTAATCTTCTTATACTCAAAATTTAATTCTTCAGCACTTCCAAAATCAAATGCCAAAATTAGTATTCGTCTCATAAAACCAATTAATATTATATTTTCACCGTGAATCGATGGCAATGATGAGTCGTAACATATGATCTTCTCATTGAGATCAATCTCGTACGTTGGACGTGCTGTTTGATTAGTTAAATTCTGTATTTTGTTCATGACTTACAGTATATTCAATTTATTTTTTTAACGACAATATTTGTAAACAAAAAAAAAGTGAGGTTATGTTGAGAAACAAGGGGGAATCAACTCGTTAAATAAAAACAAACAATCGTTTAGAATAATTGCCGATTATTGAAAATTATTAAATTCTCTTATTAATCCAGTGTATTAATTAAATTAAACCATCCAGAATGTGTAAGTAGATAGAAAATAATATAATAAAAATATTTATAGCATCCAAAAGCACGAATTTATCACTTAAATTATTGCTAGCATAAAACTCCATAGGAATCAAACAGTGTTAACTTTTTAAATATACTTCCAGCACTAGCCATGAAACCAAAATCTGAAATGACTCCAGAGGAGCTTCAAAAACTTGAGGAGGAAGAGTTCAATACTGGTCCATTGAGCGTATTAACTCAATCGGTGAAAAATAACACTCAAGTTTTGATTAATTGCCGAAATAACAAAAAGCTTCTTGCAAGAGTTAAAGCATTTGATCGTCACTGTAATATGGTACTCGAAAATGTCAAGGAAATGTGGACAGAAGTTCCAAAAAGTGGAAAAGGCAAGAAGAAAGCTAAGCCTGTGAGCAAGGATCGATACATCAGTAAGATGTTTTTACGTGGTGATTCTGTAGTCATCGTCTTGAGAAATCCTTTGGCTGCACAAGCAACTACTAAATAAGAAAAAAACTAATGAGCATAATTAATATAAGGATCTTAAGTGTTTATTTTATTATTTCTCCATAATCATTCAGTTCCCTTTCGAACGAAATACAAATTTCTAATCAATAAAAAATGGATAAAAATGAAATCATTAGATACAGATTAATTCATGATAGGAATCACAAAAAAAAATAGTATATTTAATCTTTTTCAGCAATTTCATTCAAGTGCTTTTCAATTTCCTCTTTCGGTAATGGTCGGAATTCTGGATTATCGCGAGTAACAATTGCGACTTCAATTTCTGATGACTTAAAATCAAGAGCCAATACAGTCGATAAGCATGAGATTGCTAATTGGATAGCTTCATTCTCATTATATTCGGATTTCTTCTTTAATTTCTTTTCCAAATAGCTATTGGCTTCAGTTTGTTTAACTCCGACTGAAACAGCTTTAAATCCACAGTAATAACCAGCAGGATCAGTTTTATAAACGCAAGGTCCTAATTCATCATCGAATGCAATAAGAACCATTGAACATCCCAAAGGTCTCATTTCGGCATTTTGTGTATAGACTTGAGCGATATCAGCAATTCGACGACATAAAACATCAACTGGAATTTCATATCCGAACTTGTACTTCCAGTTTGCAGCCTCATATTGAGCCCGTTGGACTTGAGATCTGCTATCAGCTAATTTTCCCGTCATTACACATCCAATTTTCTTAGTTATTCTAAACATATGTGTAACTGTTGCTGGATCAATAAGCTTATCTGGAACTTTTTTCTGCGTTGCTACAACTGCAATATCCTTTCCTTTTAAAGCTACCGAAGTATTTCCTTCTTGATTAATCGCCTTAAATGCATATTCTGTGGACATATAATATAATTCACAATGATATTGCATAAAAATCTGTTGTCTTTTCGGCAAAATTTTTATTTTTTTGTTTGTAACAACTTACCAACTTGATACAATCGTCCTTCAGGCGAAAAGATTGTTATATGGCGATCAAAGCCTGCACTACTTCCTCGAGACATTTTCTAAGCACTTGGAATTGCGATAAACTTGATAAATCTCACAGAAATTTAATAATAATTGATCGAGGGTTAATATGACTTGCTTTTTTCAGAAATCAGGGGGAATCTAGCTTGTATGATATTTTATCTATCTGGCAATTTTGGACATTCAGACAAATAACAGTAGATTGCATACCTACTTCAATAATTTATTGTTGACTTTCACATCGGACAACACTAGTTGTTTTTTTTTCGGAACATTGTGATCTATAATTCATTAAAAAGAACTATATTTTAAATATACTGCGATGGTAATGGAAGCCAGCCAACAGAATCAACAAACTCAACAACCAATTGTAAGAAGAAATCGACCAGGAACTACTACTAAAGTAAGTCAATATTCAATTAAAGAAGAAAAAAATTGGGCTTGGTGGAAAAAAGTGAAATTTTCTAAATGTTTTTAAATTGTTATCATATTGACATTAATTCACTTAATTATATTAACAGGAATTTTGTCAATGGCCTGATGAAAACTTCGAGGAAATGGATAGCACACTAGTTGTGCAACAATTTATCCAGCAAATGATCCGAAAAGATCCATCGAATGTTGAAAAACTTTTGAATATGCCCGATGGACAAGATGAAGGTGTCTGGAAGTATGAACATTTAAGGTAACTGATAAATGTTGGCATTGTGCACCGATTAATGATACATTGCTTTTAAATTATAGACAATTCTGCATGGAACTCAATGGATTGGCCGTAAAACTTCAAACTCAATGCTTTCCAGCAACATGTACTCAAATGACAGCTACTGAGCAATGGATTTTTCTGTGTGCTGCTCACAAAACCCCCAAAGAATGCCCTGCCATCGATTATACTCGCCATACATTAGATGGTGCAGCTTGTCTCTTAAATAGTAACAAGTATTTTCCATCAAGGTAATCTTTAAGTCTATATGACAAAACTATAAAGTAATTTATATAACTTTAATTATAATCCCACAGAGTTTCAATAAAGGAGTCATCGGTTCTAAAGCTCGGGTCTGTTTGTCGTCGAGTCTATCGTATATTTTCACACGCATATTTCCATCATCGCAGAATATTCAACGAGTTTGAAGAGCAAACTTTCCTCTGTTTGCGCTTTACCCATTTCGTAACAAAATATAATTTAATGTCGAAAGACAATCTAATTGTACCAATTAGTGATGCAGTCAGTGAAATTCCTGGCGAAAGCGAGGCGTAAATCTATCTTAGTTAATTCCTTCAAAAAGATATCTCTCTTAAAGTATAATTTATAATTTAATTCTTTAATTTGTCTCGTAAACTGCATATACTATTAATTGAATTCTGGTCAATGATTCTTTTTTCGCATGCTAAATTAGTGCTTACGAGATATTTTACAACATTTTTCTATAAGAAAAGAGTTAGATTTATGTCCCTTGTTTGTCATTATTTCATTTTATATTAATATATAAAAAGAAAGATTAACACTATTTTATAAAACCTAACATGATCAGAACATAATATGATATTATTTAACGATGAAATGTAATGAATGCATACGTCTGTAGTAAATTTAAGAATATCAAACAAAATATTAATATTAATCATATTCAAAAAGTGTTTAGTCGAACAGTAATTCAGATATTTACAGGGTTCTGTACTAGCAAGCATATTTACCAACCCTGTATATTCCTAATAAGTAAACTCTTCAGACAACTGATTAAATCTACAAGTCACCTTTTAAATAAATAGTGTATTGTACACACATGATAACTGAATAAATATTTTAAAATAAATCATCGGTTCACTTATTTTGTACATAGGGTAAACCATGTTAAAATTTGTGCAATGTTGAAATTTGTGCGCTCATGTAAAAAAGAAATCAGCCTAAATAAGCCATTTAAACCAAAATTTTGTTTGCAGCTCTGTGTAAAACGGTTGTACAAACATTTCTACATCATTTTGAACAGTCTCGAAGCTTGGAGCAGCTTTAAATTTGAAAAATTTAAAATCCCATCCAAAATTTTGGTTTTCATATTTTTAAATATTTGGACATAACCAGTGCTGCTTGTAATCAAATCACAGTTTTAAAAAAAAATGATAATTGCTTTACGGTTTCAAAAGAAATTCAAGTTATAAAAATCATTGGAAGTGCTTTAAAAATTGATTTTATAATTTCTTGATTTTAAATGTTAAAATTTGTACGAAGAATAGCATAAATGGAACTACTGAATGTCAAAAACTGATAACAGCTGATAAAAATGAAAAACGTGGATCATTTAAAATTTTAGATAAAAATAAAAAAAAATGCAAAAGACTTCAAGAATATCCATACATTCAAAAAGTATATATATAAGTTATTGTTAAAACTCTATTCTGCATAAAATTTACAAAAAAATGGAGAAATTTCTGATTTAATGGATGTTCCTTTGACGGTTGTAAACTCACCCAGCTCAAATTGAGTTAAATCTTGAATCTTGCATTATTTCTTGAGGAAAAGGTTTGAAACAAATCAGCTTTATGTTCTTAATTTCATTTAAAGTTTATTCAAATATTCCAAATTCCTTCAGCAAAATATCAATTTCTACTCCAAAAATATGTAAATAAAATGTTTGTTTACATTTAAGAATTACAATTATGTCAAAGATTGCTATTAAAAAAACGCACAAATTTCAACAATTGATCGAAAATGTCAAAAATCTCTTCCCATAAGCAGCATATCCTTCAAAAAACATTATTAACTGAAAATTCCCACAATTATTGGTCTTTTGAGCCCATAAGCAAATTTTCATCATCAGTCATTAGCAAGTTATTTGCAAATCAAATCTCCATGTGCAAAAACACAAATTTCAACATGGTTTACCCAATATGTAACACAAAAGAAAAAGAAGAAAGCATTAAAGAAGAATTTCAATTGGTTTTTATTCAGTTCAATAAAAAGTTTTGACTTAAACAACACAATACAAGCAGCTTTTTTTTACTATCGATTTGATTTAGATCCCTCACCTTGACCTTTTTGGAATTTCGTCTTTTGTCGATTCTGTTGACTCACACCGCGAAAATTGTTGCTCCTCTTATTCCTAAACACGTAATCGTCATTTTCGTGCTTTTTTGGAACTGGCCAAAATTTTGTTGGCACATTCGTTTGCTGATAACCATTGGCTTTTGGATCAATTTGATCTAACGTTAATAAAATGTGAACAGCTGCTATTCTTCTTGTGACAACTATTTGATCTAAACCACTCAAAAGTGGATCCCAATATTCTTCAATTCTGTAGTTAAAAAAATTGAAATGGATTTGAAATTTATAGATTGAATAAGAACTTTAATTACTTTTGATAGGCTAGTCTCGTGACTTGATTTAATTCTTTTGAATTTCTCTTCATAATTTCAGCACACGATATAGTTTTGGGAACTCCACCGCCACATCCACTCCAAACAACTGATCTGTACTCTCCAGATTTAAAAGCCTTTTCAGCAAAATCAACGACATTCGACACTTTTGTACCTCCTTTAACGTGCATCCATAGAAAATTTTCAGGAGTCATTTCAATTGGGATATGCTCCTTAGAAAGTTCTTCCTCAACATTCTTTCCCTTCCTATAATTTTCCATTGTCTACAAACTAGAAATTTAAATGAATCAGCATTAAGAAAGTGCACTTCTAATTTTGGCATGATAAAAAGAAAGTTTACAAAGAAATGAGGATTAATTCATAATCCACATCACATGGATATACCAATAGTATATTGATTCCTTATTTGCGTACTTGTAAAATAAGGAAAATCATTCATAAGTTATACACGCCGTCATGGCATGTATTAAAGTAAAGGAATTTGCTCAGTATTTTGAAGAAGAAACAAAAATCAATACTTCATTCATACTTTTGTTCATACATCAAAAGCAAGTCAGTTCAGTTCTTTCAACAAACAGATGACTATATTCATTCATAAACCTTCGCACAAATAACAGGCATGATGAGTCATAAACGGACTGTATTTAAAGAATTTGATGCCTTTAAAATTATTGACGATTGCATATTTTCCTGAATAACCCAAATTGGCAAATGCTATCCTCTGTTTTACAAATCATATAAAAAAAATTTCATCATCTTCCCCTTTTCACATTCTTTCACACTTCCTGGTATTATCTCTGTCGTAAGACTTTAAACAAAGTATTTCAAACGGAGCATCTATAATCTAAGGGTTAGAAATTATTGATCAACATTTTTTGGGGTCGATCAGTTACGAAAATCTTAATCATCAGGGACTTCATTTAGGTTTGAACCCATTTTATCTAAGATTTCGAAATAAATTGCAGTATAGATCAAATTTCCATTCAAATTATACATAAGTTGTCAACCCTTAGAGTTAAACGCCGCCTACAATTTATTTCTTAGGGATGAGTAAATTTGTAATCTTAACCACTAATTTACAAAATTAATTGAATATTCATTCATAAGGATAACCAGAAATGCGAAACCTCAAAATTTAATAAAGCATCAACTCAATAAATGCCTAGAGTCAAATTAATGTAGTAATTATCTAGATGTTGGAGATTATTGGACAATATTGAATGCATTTATAGATGAAATATTAATGCAATAAACGAAGCGATGAAAATGTCAAGAATGTAAAAGTCACTCAAGACATCATATAAATTCAATTTATTTTAATTTAAATTGTGAAACTCCTTTAAATTTAGAAAAGAAAGCAATTTCAAATTTCTCATTTTAATAGTATCGAAATACGTGGGTTGTGAGAAGAATTTAAATGACAACAATTAGAATTAAATAATGTAAGTCAAAATGAGATGAACAAGATGCGAAATGACAGTCTCGCTCACAAGACCATCATAGACTTATTGACGATGTCACCACCAATGTTATGACAAATTAATTGAAAATGCGTCATACACATCAATAGGTTGATTTTTCATTCATTTAATTTACTTTCCATCTCGTACATGTACCTACATACATGCATACACTTGTTGGGAGGTTACAGTGTGACTCAGAAAAAGACAATATTAAGCATTTTAAATGTCTTGTAATCTAAAATGGTTATGTAAATTTCCAAAATGATTTAAGACAAATCGGGTTTTTAAAACCTTATTTAGACTATATCAAGCGCTATCATTACAGTAAATAGTCTTTCAACAGTTTTGCCGAAGAAAAGATGATTTTTCTTTCTGGTCCAAAATATGTCATGATCGCTACTCTACATATACCAACAAATGGAAGCTTTATTTTCAATCATTTATTTTATCATTCGTTCCTACACACCGTTAAACATACACAACAACAATTGTCGTCCTTTACATCTATCATAAAAAATTGCTATCATACAATCTAATCCAATGAATTAAGTTGGAGGGATATAGATGGAAAGGAAAAATAATAACGAGAATATGAAAAATTCTTGAGCATACTGTTGTGTTAGAATTGACAGCTTCTACTAGCGCAATAAACGGAAAACTCGTCATACCATCTTCAAATAAAATTATCCTCGACAGAGCGATTTGATGTCAGTTCTAGTTTGATTTTCGAAGTGAAAAGTCGGAAGGAAAAAGGAGGAAAAGCCTTACATTGCTTTTGTTCTGAGTGAAAATTAAATTAGTTGGATTAATATTACTCAAAGACAACCTTCGTTGGATTACATGGGAATTATTGGATTCTAGTTCAAGGCAAAGAGGAAAAATAATTTGTATGTTGATTCGAATTAATCATGAAATTTAATGTGAAGCCATAAAAAATTTATTAATTAATAATCCGCAAATTTGAATTTTGAATTAAAAGTTGAATCAAAATTTTAAAGGTCTTCTATTGATTTCTCGCATGAGGTTGTTTAATCTGGCGGTGATGATTAAAGAAAATTAATTTTTTAGGATAAATGATCCATAGAAAATTGGGAAATGAATCAAGGGACGAACATTTAAGGAATAAAACAAGAAAAATAGAATGGAGTTGAAAATCAAAGACTTTTAACCCGTTTCAAATTTTAAAGTTAATTTTTGAAAGATTGGACTACACTTCTATGCAAACTTAAAGAAGTTTTCTCAATATAGAGAATAAATTAATATTTAAGAAAAAAATTGAACTCAACGACGTGTTTCCCTTGTAAATTACAGAGCTTTAAGTATAAAAGAGGTTCAAAAATTCACTAGTAAAATAAGTTTAAGTCAGTAGTGAAATAATCGCGATTGAGGAATTACTATTGAAAAGTAAAGTTTTGCTTTGAAGCTTTTAATTGATTTTTTTTTAGAATTAGAATTCGAAAATTTCTTGCTGTATGAAACAAGTGATTAGATTCAAAAAAAAATTATAAAAAGTTTCCATTCTTATACGGCTATCGAAGTTATTCATATTCTGCTTTTACAAATACATAGATACATTTTGTTACAAACTGCTCAACAAGTAGCAAGAAAAGAAAAAATTTCCCCTGCCAAACCATATACACCAAAAATATGCATTCAAGTATTTTTTTTTCTCCATCATTCAAAATTGATTGAGCATTTCATCAATTTTTATATATAGAGAATAGAATACAATTTTCATCATGTCATTGAAGTGAGAAGAATTTTTCTTTCTATGGAATGAAATAGGATGGGAAAATTCCAATGCGTTTCATTATTCCTCCTTCTTTGTATATGTGAATAATGTAGTGGTACAATATGAATTTCAATGAGACTAATAAGAGATGAAAAATCAATTATCAAATGACTTATTTTTCCACAATTTACTTGAAATGGATGATTTAATTTTTGTTTAAGACATTTTCAAGTATTCATGTCAATTTACGTGATGCAGAAGTATGAAATATTCAAAGTATTTCGCGAAAAGAAAATTTTTTCCAGTTGAATGTTTTATACTTGACCTTATCATTCATTCTATTTTTTACGATCAAGACAATAAAAGAAGAAACTTAAGTACGTCATGGATAGCAATGAATTTCGAAAGCGTGGAACTGAAATGGTGGAGTACATCTGTCAATATTTGGAAACGATAGAAGAAAGAAGAGTAACTCCATCAGTTGAACCGGGATATTTGCGAAGCTTGATTCCATCAGAAGCTCCTTTTAAACCCGAACCATGGGAGCAAGTCATGGATGACGTGGAAAATAAAATTATGCCTGGTACGGTTTATCATAAAAACTCATACCTGAGTTTTGTAGTCGAAAATTTTAAAAAAGCGTTTTGAGCTATTTTCTATCGAAAACATATTTAACATTTTTAATTTTTGAAACAGGTGTTACACATTGGCAACATCCTCGCTTCCATGCATATTTTCCGGCGGGAAATTCATTTCCATCAATATTGGGAGACATGTTGGGTGATGCAATTGGGTGTATTGGATTTTCATGGGTAATATCTTATTAACGCTTTAATCGTTTAAAAATTAAAAATAACTGTATTTTATTAATTGCATTAGGCTGCAAGTCCTGCATGCACAGGTAAATTTTCAAGTTTTCATATGATTTCTTTATTGAAATCCACAATCAAAAAAATTGTTTATACTTTTTGTTTCACTATTCAGAGCTAGAGACAATTGTTTTGGACTGGTTAGGTGAGTCATCATATCTATTATGCTTTTTATTTTAAAACAAGATCGTGTTAACGATTGTGCGAGAAAAGTCTTAGTGAGGTTTTTCAATATTTTGAAGCTTCCCACATCAGGTGTCTGTTATTCCATCAAAATGTTTTGGGAGTAGCTTTAATTGCTCCATTTGTTTCTAATATTTTGTCTATTTTTAATTTTAAAAAATTACTAAATATAGACCACAGAAAAACGTCATGAACTTTTTTGTTTAACAATTAAAAATAGCAAATTACAAATTACATACGTATTTTTCGTAAATATTAATTTTAGTAAAGTTTCATGCGTACATGTCTGATAATATTTGCACATGCTTCCTACAAATATTGATCTTCTGAACAAGCATTTCTTTTCCTAATTAGGCAAAGCAATTGGACTCCCAGACGATTTCTTAGCACTTAAAGAAGGCAGTAAAGGTGGTGGTGTAATTCAAACATCAGCTTCAGAATGTGTGCTTGTTTCTATGCTGGCTGCAAGGGCACAAGCAATTAAGCATTTGAAACAACTGCATCCAAATGTTGAAGAAACTCAGCTTTTGTCAAAATTAATGGCTTACTGCTCGAAAGAAGCTCACAGTTGTGTGGAAAAAGCTGCTATGATAAGCTTTGTAAAGTTAAGAATTTTGGAACCTGACGAAAAAAGCAGTTTAAGGGGGGAAACTTTAACTAAAGTAAGTACTCTAGATTATTTATAAAGTCAATCAATCAAATCAAAGCTTATAAATCAATCATGGAGATACTAAGTATTGAAATAGTCTGTTTAAAACTGACCATAATTACAGCAATAATTTTTATTTCCATTAATAAATCACAGGCAATGGAAGAAGATGAATTACAAGGGCTAGTTCCATTTTTTGTATCAACAACACTAGGCACAACTGGTGCTTGTGGATTTGATGCATTAGAAGAAATTGGAGTGGCTTTACAGAAATTTCCGAATGTATGGCTACATGTCGATGCAGCATATGCTGGAAATTCGTTCATTTGTCCTGAATTAAAGTATTTGTTAAAGGTAAAGGAAATGTTTTTAATGAACTTCAAGATGGCGAAAATTAATAACGTCATCATTTTTTTTAACTCTGTGAATGTATTTCAGGGTATTGAATACGCAGACTCATTTAACACTAATTCAAACAAATGGCTTTTGACAAATTTTGATTGTTCACTATTATGGGTACGTGACAGAATTCGCTTAACGTCAGCTCTAGTCGTAGACCCGTTATATCTAAAGCATGGATATTCTGACGCAGCGATTGACTATAGACATTGGGGTGTTCCATTATCACGTCGATTCCGTTCACTCAAACTTTGGTTTGTCTTGAGAAATTACGGAATTTCTGGCTTACAAGAATACATTCGACATCATATTCGTTTAGCAAAGAAGTTTGAACAGCTTGTATTAAAGGATAAACGATTTGAGGTTACCAACGAGGTTAAGCTTGGTCTAGTTTGCTTTCGATTGAAAGGATCTGATAAATTGAATGAAAAACTTTTGAGCATTATTAATGGATCAGGAAAACTTCACATGGTTCCAGCTTCTGTCAATGAACAATATATAATACGATTTTGTGTTGTTGCTCAAAATTCTACTGATGACGACATTAGTGAGTGATAATTTTTTTAAAAAAGTTCTTTTAATTCTAAAACTTTGTTCGCCAATTAGATTATGCTTGGGAAACCATAACTGACTTTGCAACAGAACTATTAGAGAAAGAACAAGACGATGAGTTTGTTGAAACGACTGAAGATCCACGAAAGAAGCACACACTCGCTCAGAAACGATCATTCTTCGTTCGTATGGTTAGCGATCCAAAAATCTACAACCCAGCTATCAATAAAACAGGAACACCCAGAATTTCAATGGAAATTTCATCACCAACAAAAGATGGTATTCCAGTTACAGTCCAATCACCGCCACAGTAAGATTATTGTTTATTTTTGAAGATTAAAACGACATACCAATCAAGAGAGATTAATTGAACAAAAATGATTTTCTATTTTTTTAGTGAGTCATCGTGGATTTCATGGCCGTTAGCTTTCTTATTCAACAGTACAGACGATGGTAATAGTGGAAAGAATGATGTTATGTTGCGATTTCGTCATTTGGATGTCAAAATGGGATCATCACGTCGAAATTCTGCAACTGGAAATTCATCTCCGTCACCCGACGGTGAAAATGGAATATTAAGTCTCAAATCGCCAAAGAAATCACCCCAATTAATGCGCAAACGTGGTACATCACCAAATATAAGAGCAAATGGAAATTCGTCTTAAATAACTTCATTGCTTGAAAAAAAGAAAAAAAAATATATTCTTTCTGCTTGAAAAAATGAACGCCAAATATAGTCTGATAGTTCACATTTAATGCTTTTCCCCCTTCTTAATCTATAGCTATCATACCGTAAAAATAAAATATCATCACCATGAAATATCGTCGTGAATATGAAAGAAAAATATACAATACAATATATAAAGTACATATTGAAAAAATATAATAATAATAATGATAATTAGAGAAATAAAATGAAAAGTCCAAAATAGCAGAACAAAAACAGATTTTCTGTCTTATTTTCCTGAAAAAATCAGATGAGAGCGAAAAATCTCGTCAGAGGAAAGGAATTTAGAAGCACGTGGTAAATAGACCGCAGAATCATTTGGTTTGTATATCGACATATATATCGACAAGAAGAATTTCGTCTACATGATGTAATGAAATAAAAAAAGAGAACTGCGAAAATGAAAGACATTAAATTCATTAAATATTTACTTCCTCGTATTCCCCACAAAATGTGCTCAAATTCTCATTTGCTTTAGGATATTGTTTCTTTGATGATGATTAAATAAAGCTTTTTAAGAGGTTTAGTCAGCAACGATCTAGCAAGTATGACCAATTTGTGACAGACAAATATAACTCTACCTTTTTAGTGCATTTTTTCAAATTTGCTTAAACATTGACTTTACAATGTAAAGCTTTTCTAATCATATGTTCTGTAGGCTAACATATGTGCGATTATTAGGTTTATTTAAAAATAGAACAGAAGTTATTTTTTTTTGTACTTTGAACATAGACCATGAACATGAACATGTGCCATTTGAAACTTTAATTAAGTTACTCAATAACAGTTTCTGATGACCAACGTTGTTGGCTTTCCATAAGATTCAAGTATAAGAAGCGAACAGAAAAAAGTCAGTATGAAAATGTATAAATATCAGCATCAACAACTACTTGTGACGAATCTGAAATAAAAATACAAAGGAAACCCCAGCACAGCAAGCATCATATTGACGTTGCGTACCTTCTTGTACAAATATTTACATTAGGGTTTCTAGTATTTTTAGCATAACATCGTCATGACTTATTTAAATTCATACACTTTTCAAATTATCATAAATTCAAAGAGCTAATCATTCACAACGGATATATAAACTTGAACTGTATTTTGTCAGTTTTTCAAAAGTAAATATTCAAATTCTAATAAATATTTTAGAAAGCTCATCAACAAGGAAAATCGTGGGTGCAAAATTATTTTAATATTTTTTTTATAAAAATAAATGAAAACGTCATGTTTTGTGAAAAGAAAATTCCTCTATAAGATTTTCTATAAGAGGGGAGAAAAAAAAATCCCATTTTAAGCGCTTCATTACCATATTTAGCATCAATTGATTAATTTATGATTCATTTACATTTTCCAATAATAATAATTACATTGTCTTGAATTAAAAATGAACAAAAGAATTTTCACACTAACATGATAAGAAGATTGCGCCCATATATCACACGTGGGATATAAACAAGACGATGAATTTACAGTTTACAGTTGAACTGAGCAAGTTTTTTGCTTATAATATTTCAATCAAAGACTTTTCATCTTTGCAGTATTTACCAGTATCCAACATATGTGAGTCAGAAAATTAAAAAAAAAATCGAGAGTTAAAGCTCCAAAGGTTAAAAATCCGAAAAAATTTAATGATATAGCAAAACGCGTGAAAAAATACACATACAGTAAGTAGAAATGTAGACAATTCGACTATGTACGAATTACTTGTTCATATTGTTAGTTTTTCTTGTAAGCATCAATTTTGACAAGTGCTTGTAATTTCTTTGTACGGATCTTTCGGTCTCTCGTTTTGAACTCGTTTCAATGACGTAAATTTTCTGCTTTGAAATTTTGCTACGAGCAATTAGTTCCGCATTTTCAACGGTAAAATATTTGGCACTTCTCGATAGAATTCCAATAATTTAATGACTGAATTAATTTGAATTTCCCTAATGATTCACTGATGGATCGATACCTATATTAACAATTTTAAGTATGTTTCAGGATTTCATCATAAAATTCGAGTTTTTTATCCTTCATGTTACTTAAAGACGCCAAATTGTCGCAAATCTCATAAAAATCGTACACAATAAATTTTTATTTAAATTTATGCCACAGCATTATACTACTCATTGTTTTTATTGCATCATCCACGTTAAAAAAAAATGATAATGATTTATTCAGTCATTTAGATTTTTTTTTAAAAAAACATTATTGATTGGTACGAAATGTTTACGTTTATCGTAAGGTTAGAGAACTCGCTTTGATAGTGCATTTTCATTGTGGCTTTTGTGTTTATTAGAACTATCTATCACTAGGTTTACTACGCTGTCTAATTGTGAATGCATCTAATTTCTCAAGGTTTGGTTCAATTATTACGTAGGAAAAAGTGATTTTATTTTCTAAACAGTATCACATAATGTAATCATAAGATATTAACGCTTTAATTCGTTCATTTCATTTGTGAAAAAAGGTCAACAAACTCAACTTTCTTTTGATAATTTTATCAAAAGCCAAGGAGAATACATGAAGATCTAGAACATATTTCCTTTAAAAATGACAGAATTTCTTAAAGTTTGAATTTAATTCCAATTTTAGTCATATTTCGTTTTCCTACTTTTTTTCATATTCTTATTAAACTTGAATGAATTTTTATGTCTTCTTCTCTTTTGTTTACTATAATCAGGAACTCTAAGATTTGCATAAACAATTTTCGCAAAAGAATAAAAGCACAAACATCATCTGAGCCTCCAATTACACTCCCACGAAATTGAAGAAATATTTCTATTTTTAACTCACATGTTCTATTAACAACTCAACTGCTTAATTCCTGTTTAAAATATACAATACAATGTTTATGACTTCACGTCTTGTGTGAATAAACGCACGTTTTGGACTAATATGTCCATACGAACTTTTTAATAAAATCGCAAAGTAATTCTTAAGTAATTGAGTGAAATGAAAATAAACTATCGAAAAATTCTCTTTTTAAAATATTCAGTTTTATGTAAACAGAATTTTAATTAAGATGATGATGAGGACATCATTTAGTTCTCTTTTTTAATTAACTCTCGTAATTGAAACTTCCTTACCAAAGAAAGTTTAAGTTTGAACAAAATAACTGAAATACGCTGAAAAAAAATATATTCAAGCTTAACAGGATATTTAGAAAAAATTTTAAAAAAAGCTCCGAGAATGTGTGAGCGTAAATCACACGAATGTGAGAAAGAAATATATCTACCCCGAGATAATGCAGTGTACAAAGAAAGAAAAAATTGTTTTATATATAATTGAGATATTCTCATCGGAGCGACCCATTCTCATATCTGATTTCAAAGAGTTAAGTTCACAAGGAAAAAAAGTGAAGTTGGAAATAAAATTTTTAACGTGAAAAGAGAAAGAAAAAAAAATTTTTTTGCGATATTTTTCATAGCTTAAACAAATAAGTTATTTGTGTTCAATAAAAAAAGAAAAATAAAACAAGAAAGATGGCAAAGAATTATGAGGAATTTCGTATTCATGGCAAACAAATGGTTGACTACATTTGTGATTATGTGAAAAATATGGATCAGAAAACAGTTGCACCAATAACAGTTGAACCCGGATTTCTTGCACCACAACTTGCCAAAGAAGTTCCAGAATTACCAGAAAGCTTTCAGGAAATTTTGGGTGATTTTGAAAAGAAAATTATGCCAGGCGTTATGCATTGGAATCATCCAAACTTTTTTGCATATTTTGGAGCTGGAAATGCCTACCCTTCAGTTTTAGGCGATATGTTAAGTTCCGGAATAGCAGCTATTGGATTTTCATGGGTAAGAAAAAAAGTTTATCGAGTGCGATCAAAATGTGAGATATTGTCTGTATGTACAGCATGTCATTCGTTACTTCAAAAAAGAATCAAAAGATCAAAACTGGCATGTTAGACAAACAAAAATTACACGGAATCTTTTTGAGCACACGAAATGAATGTACACATTCTCTCTTTTGTTTATTCTGTGTTTCGAAATCTCTTAATCATTAAACGATTGTTAATTCTTGTTTAATTTATCTGATTTTTCTCATAAATAAATATTTCTCTTTTTTATTTCTTCATCTTTTCGCACAATTTATTAGGCCTCGTGTCCTGCACTGACAGAATTGGAAACAATAATGCTCGATTGGTATGCAAAAGCATTAGATCTTCCAGATTTTTTCCTCAGTAAAAGCAGTAATTCAAAATCTTTGGGTGGCGGTTCCATTCAATCATCCGCATCAGATGCTATTTTTGCATGCATGTGCAGTGCTCGTGCACGTGCTATTAAGAAGCTTAAGGGGGATAATCTTGAGATTCATGATAGTGTATATTTACCACAATTAGTATGTTATGCTTCGTCCGAAGCACATAGTAGTGTTGAAAAAGCCGCAAAAATGAACTTGGTCAAGTTGAGAGTCATTGAGCCTGATTCTCATGATTCAATGCGAGGCGATGCTTTAGAAAGGGCAATTGAGAGAGATATTGCACGTGGACTAACACCGTTCTTTGTTGTTGCAACACTAGGAACGACAAGTCAAGTGGCATTTGATAACTTAGTGGAAATTGGAGTTGTATGCAAGAAATATCCATCATTATGGTTTCACGTTGATGGTGCTTATGGGGGAAATTCTTTTCTCGTACCAGAAATGAGACGATTTAAAGCAGGAATGGAGTATGTTGATTCATTTGAAGTGAATCCTAATAAGTTAATGATGACAGCTTTTGATTGTACATGTATGTGGGTTAAGAATGTTCTAACCTTCACAGAGGCTTTTGCAGTTGATCCACTTTATCTGCAACATCAGCACGACACATCAGTTGTTGATTTAAGACATTTTGGCACTCCTTTAAGTCGTCGATTCCGATCGCTTAAACTGTATTTCATGTTTCGAATGTACGGATTGAAAGGACTACAAGGTTACATAAGACGAGTCATCACTATGGGCAAACATTTTGAGAAACTCGTGAAAACAGATGAACGATTTGAGATAAGAAATGATGTCATTCTTGGACTCGTGTGCTTTAGATTATTGTAAGTCTGTTTATTATTCTTGTTCATTTGAAATATATTGATAATTATCTCATTTTTATGTAGGCATCCTGACGCTATAAACCAAGAATTTCTCGCTCGAATGAACGCATCGGGAAAAATTCATCTGACACCAGCCAAAGTTAAAGGAAAATATGTAATTAGATTTGTTGCTAACCAAGAGAATTGTAATGAAGCACAAATAGACGGTGCATGGAAAACAATACAGCAATTCGCTGATGAGCTCGTCGGAGAAATTAAACCTGTTGAAAAGAAAGTTCGTCCAAGGCTCAAGAAATTGGACCGTACACATTCACAGCGTTTCTCATTCACCCGAAATGTATCGCAAGAAATCTATGAACGACAATCAAGCATGTACGTACTGATCATATATTATTATTTTAAAAAAAAAGCTGGAAAAAAGCTTTACGTGGTCATAGAACTAATATTGAAATTTCTATTTTTTTAAAAAAAAATTACAGACAAAAGCTTATGGATGGAGCAACACCAATTGTTGTTATTGACACAAATGATATACTTTTGAGCCTCCAGAAAGCTACTTTGCAAAATAAAGAGGCACAAGAAAGAGAGAGAATAGACGAGCATCACAGCAAATGTAATGGAACTAATGGAGCTTAATTTATCTACATATTTTAGTAGTGTTACGATAGTATTATAACATATAAATATTTATTTAATGTTGTCAAACGTCTCTCTTTAATTTTATTTTAATAAATATTTCTATTGACTTATTTTTGATTTTTTCATTACTTAAAAATACAAAATAATCACTTACAGCTTTGATGACTCTTTGCTTCTCTGGTGTGAATGATGAGTAAAATTTGAGATTTGCAGATGTTAATCACTGTATCGAACTTAATTTTAATATATTTTACTTAAAATCACGAATCAACAAATTTACCAAGAATGTGTTTGTTTTGTTTTTGTGCTTCGCAGGGTGCTTCGTTAAACTTTCGTTAAGTTTTTGTTTGACAAAAATATTTTGTCAAAAAACATTAATAATATTAAAATAGTTGAAATAATGCATCCAAGAAATATCTATAAGACTCCACCAAATTTTGACAATTTAAGGAAATTATATCCAGAGTTTGCAGAAAAGATCCAAGTCGTAAGTTGTTTAATTAATATTTTTTTCCGGCTTTACCAGTTGAACACTTGCAGGATGTCAATGGGAAGATAAAACTTGATTTTAAGGATCCAGAAGCAGTTAGGATATTGACAAAATGCTGTTTGAAGAAAGATTTCAATTTAGACGTCGATATTCCTTCAGATAAGCTATTGCCAACTTTACCTTTAAGAATTAATTATATTTTGTGGATTGAAGATTTATTAATTCACTGTGGCATTAAAGAAGAAATAATTGGAATTGATATTGGAACTGGCGCATGCTGTATATATTGTTTATTATCTGTTAGAATGAATCATAATTGGAAGATGTTTGCTCTAGAAATTGATAAAGATAATGTCAGTTATGCAAAGGCTAATATTTCTAGGAATCATTTGGAAGAAAAAGTAGTTGTTATAGACCAAGAAGGAAGTGACGACATTTTTGAAAAATTGTTTGCACTCGATTGTCATCAGAAGACTTTCACAATATGCAACCCACCGTTTTTCGGTTCCGTAAAGGAATTGACTCAAGGAGAAAATAGATCAGGCAAAAGAAAGAGACATTTTAGTCCAATGAAAGAATCTTTGGAAACTGTTTTTAATGAAGGTGGAGAGATTGGATTTGTTACTAAAATATTGAATGAAAGTTTAGTGTTGAGAAGTAAAATTTGCATTTATTCAACAATGTTTGGCTGTAAAAAGAATTTTGAAAATTTTTTAATATTATTGAAAAGCTATAAAATAGACAGTTTTACAACTACGGAATTTGTACAAGGGAAAGTTCATAGATGGGCTGTTGCTTGGAGTTTTTCACAAAATTTGTCAGATTTTGCAAAAGACGTTCCACACAAATCACGTAATGTGATTCTGAAACATGTGATTGATAATGAAAATTTTAAAGAGGTCCATGATCAGATTCTTAAAGTCCTAAATGAGTTAAAAATTTCAAAGAAAATCTTAAAATCTGAGAATGGCAAATTATACCAATATGAATTGGAATCAACAGAGAATACTTGGTCAAATCAGAGAAGAAAGAGAAGAGCTGAAAACCGGAATGAATCTTATGATAATATAGGAAATACATCCGCTCAAAAATTAAAAATGGGATTTGAAATAAATATGATAGACAAATCTATACAAATTAAAATATTTTTTGTGGAAGGAAACATGCCAAAAGACTCTGTAAATCAGGTTCTACAGTTCATAAAGAATGCTTTAAACGGAAAATAGTAAAAGTAATCGTTAAAAAGTTAATTGAAAAATTTGACGAAACATTTATATTCAAAACGTTAACGAAACGAACGGAAATATACAAATTTGAATTTATGAAACTTTGTAAAACTGAAAAAGAAAATATTGTAATTAAATTTTTCTGAAGGAATTAGACAGTAATTAGTGAAAATAATGTGGAATAAATTTGAGGCATCATCGAATGAAGATGAAACACTTGGAGATTCATTCTTTACTAATGGATTATTTAAGATATCGAATGAAAATGAGGTATTTCAGTTGAGAGGAAAATGTTTGCACAAAATATTAAACTGATTTCTGTTTTTGCAGAGTGACACAGATCCAGTTGTAATCTCTTCGATTCATAATAAGAGCATAATTATTGGTGTCGATAAGAGCTTAATAATAATTGAAGATGAATCAACACTGGATTGTAAATTTCTTTGCTTTGGCTCCGAAATCAATTGTTTTGCATTTTCATCGTGTGGAACTTATATTGTTTGCTGCCTAAGTGATGGAAACATCCATGGAGTTCACATTAAAGGATTTCCGATTTTTAATTCGTAAGTTAATTTTGATAATTATTTTTTTTTTTAACATTTTAAACCTTTTATTTCAACAGGATTATTCAGGAAGAAGACATTGATTCGAAGAAATCTTTTATTGACATTCAGCTTGTTAATGAAGTACTGTATGTCCTCTGTAAGAATAGTAAGATATACAAAATCAAAGGAATCGAGAGAGAGTTGCTTTTGGAAATAAGTAATTTTGATAATAATGCACCATCTTGCTTGAATGAAAGTATTTTAGAGGCTATTAATGTAGTCCGTGTCAGCAATAACCGTTGTACTTCTTTGGTCAATTCATTTTGTGTCCTTAAAGACATTTCTAATGACATCTTTATCATTAGCTGTGATGAATATATAACAATCATTGAAGGAGAACAGACATTTCACATTAAGTATAACAAGAATTTAGGAGCAGTCAAGAAATTAATAAATTTGGAAAGTTACATCATTGGATTAACAGAAAATGGCTCATTGATTGAAATCTGTCCATTTTCAAGAATTTTAACAAAAATCAAATCATTAAAAGACAGCAACATGATGGATATTGATGATTTAAGAGTTTTAGAATCAAATGATCAATATATTGAACTCTTGACATTATCAAGTTCTTTAGACGAGGAAAGGCAAATGAAAGTTGTGGATTATCCGTCGTTATACATAAAAAGTGAATTAATTTTACCGAACGTTTCATGGCTTGTTACTCAGCCAAAATCAGCTATTAATATGTATTACATTGAAGGCTACAAAAATGGACGAAATTTTCTTCAAAACATCGAAATAAAATGCATAACTGAAGCAGATCCTGAACAGCGATTCAAAAAACTCATTTTACGAGGACATTTTGATGAGGCCGAAGAATATGCTAAAGGTTGTGACCTAAAATTAGCACCTTTACACGAGGCACGAGTCAAGAAGACATTATTAGACATGTCTCTATTAAAAACAGATGAAAAAGTCGAAGATAAGTTTGAAATTCTGATGAAGCAATTGGAGAATATTGAAGATAAAGATTTCCTTGTTTCACTTCGATTAAGCAGTGATATTCCCGATAGATCATGTTTAACAAGATTTCTTGAGTATTTGCAGCAAAGCATAGACACAATCAAATATTTTGATGAAATTAATGAGATCAATGAGCTTTTATTGAGATTAGAAACATTACGTTTAATTGATCCTTTTGATACTAACTTACAATGGCGTAAATTTCTTCATCAAAAAGATATGCAACGTGTAGCAATGGATTACTTTAAAAGTGATGTTTTATTGTCCTGTTTAATTTGGTCGCGGCATGCAACATCAATAATTCCAAACTTGAATTTAGAAATGTTTTACCATTGGCTCGATGGCATACGATCAACTATTGAACCATTTCAATTGGTTCAATTTTTAAAACATTTTGCATCCTGCTTTCTTCAAAATTATCCTGAACAAACTTCAAAACTTTTTGACTGGTGCATCGAACGAACTCGTGATTTGCAATTTTCAATTGCTTGGCCAGAAGTTGGATTAGAGTTTATTAATAATATTAAGACAATATTTGAAGAAATTGAGTTCATTTTTGTCGATATAAGACGATCTTATCATTATAATATGGAAAAGATACTTAAAGTAATTTTCATTCTGGAGGAAATTGTCGTATTAAAGAAAAACTATCACCTTACAATGTCGTTTGATGATTACAGCAGAAATTCACCAGAAGAAACGGCTTTCAAACTCCTCCAAAGAATTCAAATTAATAATCTACAAAAGCTAGTGAACGAATTCATTTATCCATTATTTATGGAACATGGATTAGTTCCTGAAGAAACAATCGTGCAATACATTAATTTCTTAGCTCGGAATAAGAATATTGGATATTGGCAGGAACGAGCAGCTCTCTCTATCGATTTATTAAATAATGAAGAAAATCGATTAAATTGTGCCTTATTAATACTCAAAGTATCCCCTGTGCCATGGTCTGATGCTGTTCTTCCACTAGCGAAACTTGGTACAACAAGCAGTCATCCTTTAGCTAATTTAATTTCGATCGAACATAAAAATCAAGCAATTAAGATTATTAAAGTAAAGTATGGTTGGCCAGTAGATTACTTTGACTTGGAACAAGATAGAATTAAGTTAGCACAACGAATTTTAAAAGTAAATAATCAAGAAATGATTGAAGATATTAGAATACTCGTAAAGTCGTCACTAGATATTGCTCATGATGCTTATTTCTACTTGATGCAACGTCTCGTAGATACTGGAAAACTAGATGAGTTTGTTGAATTTGTGGATAGTATTCAAAATGATGAGAAGAGCAATGGAATGTTTCAAAAAACTATAAATATTTTCATTGAGCTAGTCCAAGATGAGGATATTATGGAAACAAGTGATACAATGATGAATTACGTTGAAGCGTTAAAGTTCTTGTTGCAAAAATTGAAGGAAAGCATTGATGAATGTGATTACAACTTTCAAAATGAGAAAATTAATACAATCAAAAACATCTATCAACTTAAGGAATTTAACATGAATGTCAGCATTAAGGACTTAAAAAAGGCTGAAAATAAGTTTTGTTCAATGAAGGCTTGCATCAAAAAGGTTGTCGAAAGTGTCGTTGATAGTATGTCGATTGATACAATGTGGATTCAAGTGAATTTACTAGCACGCATATTTAAAGAGAACCGAATCAAATTATTATTTATGATATGTCAAGAACTGAACAACATTTACATTACTTGTAAAGTCATCGATTGGCTTTGTGAGTCTGAAGAACATTTCAAGAATGAAGACATCAAAAATGCCTTTGAATTTGCATCACTCATGATTTCGCAACTGATAATTTCTTTAGAAAATAACGATTTTCAATTAAAACAAGTTTATGATCCTCTAGCATTCCCACTTGCATATAATCTTATGTTAAAATGTCTGGTAGAATATGATTTGGTCTGTCATACTGCAATTTTGGAACTAATGCGATGGGTTAGTCTTATTTGTCACTTTTATCCACGGAATGTTATTGATTCTACACGAGATTCTCGAGTAATCGATAGCAGAGTTTTCGTATCAAAAAAGATGAATGGAGATTTGCAACAGAATGGAGCTAAACGAGAATCTCTTTCAGTATTTGACAATTTCGAAGAACTCATTATTGTCGAGCAGGTAAATTTATTTCTTCCTTGTTCATTTTCTTCAAATCTTTAAAATCGGTATTTATTAACAGCCAAAACAATTTGACGATAAATTGTCTTCAGTCGTGGAATGCGTTTGTTCTGCAATTAAAATTATTACTCTTAGTATGCATTCAGACTTAATGCCTTATACATTATTCCGAATGTATAGCATCGATCAAAATAGTCAAAATCAAAGGTACGTTTTAATCAGTTTAAAGATTATACGATTTATAAAAAAGAAATTTTTTTCAACAGAATTAAGGACGAGTTCTTCAGCTCATTGGAAAAATTATTGAAATTGAAATTGTGCATTGAAGCATTTGTTATTACGCAAATGATTTTATCCCATCAAAAGAAATTAAAGGCGATGATTATTCCGCCTCATTTTATTACGACGGTAAAAACCCCTAAAATAAATTTCTCATTAACTTACTAATCCAATTGTTCAAACACACAGGTGAACAAAAAGATGTTGAAATTCGTATTGAGTCAAAAAGATCCGGAATATTATGATGCATTTATTATTTTTCGATCGGAAATCAATAAAAATGTATGCCTTGAATATCTGAAAGAATCATTAAAGAATAATTCACAGCGCATAGCATTTTCAACATTCTCAGAAATGTACAACAAGTATAAGAAGAATGATGACTTTAAAGTTGATCGCGAGAGTCGATTAAAACTGTTTTATTACTCTGAAATCTGCAAATCATATCCAACATTAAGAGCAGGCGGTAATCTTGATAATATTGGAATTAGTGAATTCTTAAAAGATTTAGAAAATCAACAGTTGTCAATTGATTTGCTTCAAAGGTTGTCTAAAGATTTTGAATGGAACTATCAAAAAGCTTTAGTGAAGCAAGTTAAGATTATTTTGAGCCAACAAAACTTAGAGTTTGAGATAACTAAGGATGTTTTCGGAAAGGATGAAGTTATTATTAAAACGAGCATTGAATCAATTAAGAAACAGTGTATGCCATACGTACAAGAAATTACTGAATTAAGTGCATTTGGAACGGAACTTGAAGCATGTTTTAAGGAAGTTAATGATTATTTTTATGAACTTTCGTTAGCAATTCTTGATATGATTGAAAATTTTAAGGAATTATCAATGCATCACAAACTATACAAAAATATCTTGATTCTATTAAAGCACAAATTAACTTTTAAACGTCGATCAATTGATGGCGATGAGCATGAATATTGGATGAACACTTATGCAACAGAAAGCTCAGTGTTACCTGCAATCTCTTCTTGGCGACTTCCATTCAAAATGATATTAGAAGGAATTCCAGAAGATATAATCTCAAAAGATTTAAATGTGGAAAATTTCGAAATTTATTTTCCATTAATCCAACTTCATACAGCACTTTTTAAGGCAGATGATAATATTGATCCAAATGATAGAATAGAAAAATGTGCATTAAGTGCAGCTAAAAATTCAGTTCAAGATATGAGAAATCAGTCGGAAGTAACAGTTGGAGCTCAGTGGAACTTAAAGCCAAGAAATAATGCATTTTTGCAGACAGTCAAACGAATGGTTACATATTTGGAGAATAAAGGTAAAGCACTTGCAATCTTATACTTTATAGTTACAAATACTCCAAATGGTTTTGATCAAATGGAAGCGGCTCATGAATGCTGGAAATTTGCTACGATGTATGAGGATGTGCTCCTACTTAATACAAAATATTGTGATCTAGTCGAAAAAGCTAAAAGGAAATATCCATTATTAAAAACACAACATTTATTGTACGCTTTTGGCTTAGCTGAAGATAAGATGCTACAATTAATTGAGAATCCTCGGGTATTAATCCATGCTTTATATCAACATGATTCAATATTACAGTCTCAAAAGAAAGAAATTAACAAATTGTGTGAGGAAGTAGCAAATCTTTACAATCTCGATTTAATGACAATTCAAATAGAATTAATTGGAAGCTGGTTGGCATTTGCTGAAGTATCTCAATCTGAAAATTGTGATGGAAATGATACAGTTTATGAGGACTTTATGGGCGGATGTTCGAGTAATGAAGAAAATGTTGTAAGTGATGAAAATGTCATACGTGCTTATTACATTCTTGGGAGCTGGAATAACGCCACAGCTTTGGACTTTTTGGCATGTGAAATGAGCACTGCAAAAGCTCACACTGAAAATCAACTTCAATTATACGAATGTTTTGCAAAGCTCATTGATGAAAATAACTCGAATTATATCGAATTGGTAAACACCAAGAGATTTCTCTTGTTTCGTGTCTGTCATCTTTTGAAACTTCTCGGATATAACATTAAACCTGAAAAGTTCGAAAGCTTTGACAAAATTGATTTGCTGAAAAAAGTTTGGACTGGACATAATAACAATCCAATAGGGCTTGAAGTAATGGTTCTCATCTGTTTGGGATTTGAAGTTCATATTCCTCAAATTTGGAACGGAATTCTAAAGCAAATGGTTAATCACAATATGGTAAGCTTAATGTTAATATAAGTCATTATTCGATCAATTAATAATAATTTTAATTTTTAAATAGATTAAACATTTGATAATTTTGGTAGAAATTCTCTCAGCAAAGACAAAATTTCTGCATTTGAGTAATTTGAAGCTTGCATGGGAATATGTCATTCAATATCCTTTAATTCTTGGCACAAAAGTTCAGAATTTTGAGGAAGATCAAAAGCTCTCAAAAGCATTAGTTTCATTGCAAAAATGTCCAATTTCAACATTCCTGAGCATGAAAAGTCTTGCCGATAAATTTATTAGATTAGAACGTCCACACATGGCTGCAATTTGCATAGCTTTTTCCAAAGATTCGGAACGAGAGGAAATTATCAACATGTTATTAGACTGCAATAAACGTGAATTAAGCAAGAACATTGAATATCTAGAAGAATTCGGAATAGCTCCTATAATCACTAAATCTGTTACTATTGCTTTGAATTTATAGTTTTTATTTTTCGTTTAAAATATTTTTGCAATCAAAAAAAATTGGAAATAAAATAACGTATTTTTGCATTTTTGAATTTTTTTCTTGTGTGACTTAATCTATTAACCTGCCCTCTTAAAAATAAACAAGATTGCCAAGAAATATTTTGTCAGGAGTATATTTCAATTATTAATTAATTTCTCTAAAAATGAGCTTAGAAAGTACGCAAGATGAAAATGCAGTAAGTAAGCATCAAGTCACTTAAGTTGTCATTCAATAAACCTGTTTTTTTTTTGAAGGTTCCGAATGAGAATTTGCCAAAATTATATCGCGCTGCTGAACTATCGATGCTGGATATTGGAAAATGTTCAATAGGTCCAGAAAGTACATACGAGAGCAACGGAACAATGGAAATAACTAACGTTGAACAGCATGAAAAGTCTAGAACTAAGAAATCACCAAAGACACCAAATATTGAGCATCAACAAGTCATTGACAAAATTAGTAGAATGGATTTAAGTGACTTACAGTGCTTCCAACAAAAAATATATGTGCAAAGTGTAGAGAAGAAGATTGAAACAGAAGTACGGAAGAAACTTGAGATAAAAAGAGCTGAGGAAATAGAGAATTACGAGAAAATTAAGAGAAATATAGAGATGATGAGACTGGAAGCTGAAAGACGCCATGAAAATAAGATGAAGGAACTAGAGAAAAGGTTAAAAATTGAATTAGAAAATGAGAGCCAAGAGGAATTAATTTATCAGGAACAAAGAAAGGCTTTAGCTGCAAACACAAAAAAGATCCAGGAAGAAAAAGAAAACAAGTTAAAGGAACAAATTAAAAAGTTTGATGACGTATTTAACAAACAGGAAGCGGCATTTGTAAAAACCATCCAATCATGCAATCCTGAAATGGCTCCGTCAATAGATGTCTTCAAGAAACAACTTAAAGATATTAAGATGTTTAAAGAAACACATAAAAGTTCATTAGATATAGCAAAATCGGGTTGTATTAAATTAGATGCTCTTTGTCAGAATCTCCAAAAAGAAATAAGGGAATTTGAAGCAGCTTCACAAGCTAGGAAAGCTCAAAAAGATGCCGAAGATAAATTAGCAGCTGAACAGCTAGCAGCACAAAAAGTCGAATCTATAGTTCCAATCCAAATAGCTGCTGTTCAGCCAAGAAGTCAGGATCAAGTCAATCAAGTGCCTTTAGAATCCAATCCAATTCAATCGGAAGCTTTCAAGATTTACAATCATTACAAACAGTTATTAATTATTAAGAAGGAACAGACAAATAAATTGGACGAAATGCCTGAATTACAACAAATCCGTTTTGCGTTAAAAGTTGCCATAAATAATGCTATCAATTTACTTAATGAAAAGAACAGGACTACATTAATTGACGGCTATCAAAAACTATTTACTCTGCTATCTGGTCAACGGGTTAACACACCAAAAGGAAGTATAGCTATTACTGATCATAATGAAGCTCCTGACTGGTGTAGATTAAGAATTGCTGAGAAGTTAATTGTAATATGATTTGAACGAAATTAATATTAAATTTTATTAATTATATTTATTTATCGACAGGATCGTTGTGATAAGGAACCGAGCATTGTTTTTTATACTGCAGCTTTGACAATTGCATTGTGGCAAAAATTCCCAGATTTTGGTGAGATTTTTAAAGCTATGCTTTACAAGGAATGTCCATTTTTGATGCCATTTAAACCACCAAAATTAAATACACAAAGCAACGAGGAGTTCTTAAATAGTTGGGGATTTCGTCTTGCTAACGGCGTTTGTGAGGAACACGTTTATTATGAGGGAAGAACTACAAAATTTGCATCTCTTCTTGCTGCTCTATGGGTCTCATTTCCTCGAAAAGGCGAAAGTGAAATTTCTCCATTTGACATTAAACATGCCTGGATGTACTTTGCGAATGTATTAAACACTAATCCAGATTCAAACTATTTTCATATCATTGGAAAATTACTTGAAGTTAGTGGATTCATGATGCATCAAGTTTACGGAAAGCAATTTGTTAAGCTAATGATGTTGATTAGAGACAGATACATTCCTGCTGTTCATTCTGCAGTCGATGAAGAAACTAGTGCGTCGTTTAATAGGCTTCGTGATACACTTAATAAGTTTTTTACTGAAAATAAGTTTAATGAACCAAAAGGAAGAGTAATCCTCGGTTATTGGTAAATTATTTTATTAATTATAAATATGATTAGGGTTGTCTAAAGGTTGATTTATTTTTAAATGTAACAATCACGCTTTTATAAATTTATCCGAACAATCCAAAATATCCTCCATATCTCCTCCTACCACGGACTCTTTGCCGCCTTACTCTTGCGGTTCCGTTGATAATGTTAATTGTAATATTGAAGCATTCACGGTCTTTTGCTAAAGTTTTGGATTAAATCAATGAAATTTTAATTTTTATTGAATTGATTACCATTTTCATCGTCTGCAATTAATCCTCTATTTTTTGAATTGTCATTTCTTGGAATCGACAATGTATTACAAATGACTAAAATTGACACTAAAATGTTCAACAGTGTGATCCAGTTTCTGAACATTTCTGATTTAAAATAATTCAAATTAAATAATGACATTCGCTTTTATAAAAGCTAGAAATTCAAGTCCAAAAAAATGAGGTGTAGAAAGTCACAATTTTACAGAACCATAATCATTGTAATTTTAATTTATAACAACCTCGTTCATGAAATTTCCCATAGACGTCACATGTGAATGACATTTTTAGTGTGAAAAAGAGATTCTTTATTGACGATTGAATACATCAAGAAACATTAATAAAAACAGTTGGATATGATAATAAAGATGGTATGTGTTTTCATTCAAAATTTGAATTTTCAACAGCCGAAATAAATTAAAAACTAATTAGCTAATAAGTCTTTTTGGAGATTCATGGAATACATATTTAAAATAGTAATTCAAACTTGACATTCGTTTTCTTTGAATTTTATTAATGAAGTGCACTTGAAATCAATTATTATGCAACAAGCAGTTACCAAGGCGTGGACACTGGGATTAATCCCAATAATCCCAAACCCAGGTTTGGGATTATTGGGATTATTAAAATAATTTTAAAATTTTTATATTCACACCGTTTTCACGTGTGAATCTATTGGTTTTGTTCAGATTGAAAAATCAGTGTTTTGAATTTTGTGAGGATATGGAGCAAGATAGCTTAAAATAATCAGAGATGAAAAGTTTGTGCCTTGAATTTCACATCTTTTGTGTTGCATAGTGAATCAACATTTTATTATTAAGAAAGAAATGATCGCAGATATTTTTGAAAATATTGTAAAATTAGTTTGATTTTAGTTGCAATTGTACCACTGTTCGAAATAGTCATTGAAATACAGTCCACTCATTCAAATACCTTAAAACATCATTTTTTATTGGTCCTTCGAACCTTGAGATTGAAACAGTGAAACAAGACGTGGAGTAGACTTAGAAATTGAATATTGAAAGAAATTGAAAAATTTGAAGAAGAATTTTGAAGAAAGTTCAAGTTGAAGCTGGCAGATTTGTTGAAGCAAAGTTCAACAAGAATAAGCAATAATGAATACATATGAAGGAAAGAAAGCAAAGCTGAATTGAATAACCGAAGATTTTGAAAGCATAAAAAGCACTTATGACATGTTAAAGGAAGAAACAAATTTTAAAGAAGCAAAAGTGTATCATGATGTGTTCAAAGACATGTTAGATGAATTCAACGAAGTGTTCATTGAATTTGAACTGTTACATCGAAAACGAGAAAATGATGTTGAAACTCAGAAGTTTACTTTGTTCAAGAAACTTGCAGTTATTACAACATTTGAGTTAGCAGTAAAGATAGAAACTCTGAAGAAAGAGCAAGAGAGACGTTTAGAAGTCAAAGTAAACGCAATTTAACCATCGACATCATCAACAGAAGAGTGAAACTTCCTGAAATAAAACTTCCAGAATTCAATGGAGAATTTAGCAATTGGATATCTTTTAAAGATACTTATATCTCTTTGATACATTCAAACCCAATGTATTCAGACATTGATAAATTCCATTACTTGAAGTCATCAGTGAACATTCAGCCAGAATCTCAAAATATATTAAACAACTATCAATTTTCAGGAGACAATTACAAATCTGCCTGGGAAGCGTTATGTCGAAGATTTGACGATCGAAGAGTTTTGTTGATGCAATACACAAATTCTCTTATGACAATTAGTGGTCCTATTAATGGTTCCTTATCAGAAGCAAGGAGAGCCCTAGATACTTACATCAGTCATCGTGCAGCATTCAATTTGATGAAAGTTACAACAGAAGAATTATTGGACATGATTTTTGAACAATTTGTCAGGAATCGTTTTGATAAAAATCTCATGAGAGAATGGGATATCCATATTGACAGTAGTGATGAAAAGCCTGCTTTCTGTAAATTCATGGATTAACGTATAAAATCATTGGCATTCACTTATCGAGAAGGGAATTCTTTTGGATTGTTCAAATCGTTATCTGATGAAAGTATCACATCACAGTCAAGTAAGACATCACTCGTAGTAAACAATAATGTGCAAATTGAAAAATGCAAATTGTGCTCTAGTAGTCATCGAGTCTATCAGTGCGAAATATTCAGAAAAGAAAATCAAGAAGAAAGACTCAAAATAGCTTCAAAATACAAATTGTGTATGAACTGTCTTAGACCTGGACACAGCAAGCAAGATTGCAATAGTAATTCAAGGTGTAAAGTTTGTGAAGAGAATCATCATACAAGCTTGCATAGCAACAACTCAAATTCTTTATTAAATTCGCAAGAAGCAACTCAAACATGAATTTTTGTCGAGAGGGCAGAACTCTCTCATAGTATTGAGAGTATGAATTAAGAAATCAAGTTTTATCATGCTCAAGTCGTCTTAACAAGCTTGGATCAACATTCAAGTTAATTTTATCTCATCTCATCTCTAGCAATACTTGGACGACCATTCAAGTTTTGCAATCAAACTCATCTCTTCCGAATCATATCTGGCAGAACAGAATTATTCTGCAGATTCTCAATAGGCACTAATAGAACAGAATTATTCTTTTAGTAAGATCTAGCAAAACAGAACTATTTTGTTATGATCACAATTACATTATAATTTGTCAGAGCATCCTGCAAGATCTAGCAAAACAGAATCATTTTGTTAGCATCTTCAATATTGAAGTACTGATAGAACAGAATCATTCTATTAGTATATCTCAAGATCAGGACAGAATCATTCTGGTAGCTTCTACGTCATTGGCTTCAGATTATTAACATCTAGCTCCATCTAATAGAACAGAATTATTCTATTAGACACTCAAACTAAATGCAATAGAACAGAATTATTCTATTTGCATTTTACTTCAAGTGCTAACAGGACAGAACTATTCTGTTAGGGACTACACTCCAACGAATTGTCTTTCAAGATATTTGTTATCAAAACTATCAACGAATCATCATCAAGATGTGAAGTCTTTGTTATTCATCATAAGTCGAGGTGGCAGTTTGTTGCATGGTGAATCAACATTTTATTATTAAGAAAGAAATGATCGCAGATATTTTTGAAAATATTTTATTAGTTTGATTTTAGTTGCAATTGTACCACTGTTCGAAATAGTCATTGAAATACAGTCCACTCATTCAAATACCTTAAAACATCATTTTTTAAGGTATTAAATTTAAAAACAGATTTCAAATTGATTGGGGCATTGCTGAGAAAATCGCAAAATATGCTTTCTGTAAGCATGCAAACAAGCAAGTTAATCATCAACATTTGATCCGTGATGCTCTATAGAAGAGCTGTATTGTTTTTAGGCAAGGTAGGAACAGCCGTTGCTTCAGAAAAAACAAAAAACTTTCCTTTCTTACGAATTTTTCAAATTAAAAGTTCATTGTGATTTTTTTTTTTATAATTAAACTTTGGATGAAAATAATTTTTTTGAGCAAAGAACCAAGTAAGAAATACATTTTCAATTTTGGACTAGGGGCGACCCTAGTCAAAATCAATTTTGTCACTTTTTTCTTCAGGGGTTTATCCAAATGGATTTAAACTTTGCATAAATATTCTAGTGCTTAAAACAAATACAAATAAAACACCCTAAAATTTTTTTGAGCAAAGAACCAAGTAGGAAATACATTTTCAATTTTGGACTAGGGGCGACCCTAGTCAAAATCAATTTTGTCACTTTTTTCTTCGAGGGTTTATCCAAATGAATTGAAACTTTGCATAAATATTTTAATGCTTAACAAATACAAATAAAACATCCTAAATTTTTCTGAGCAAAGAACCAAATAGGAAATACATTTTCAATTTAGGACTAGGGCCACCTTAGTCAAAATCAATTTTGTCACTTTTTTTCTTCGAGGGTTTATCCAAATGGATTGAAACTTTGCATAAATATTCTGGTGTTTAAAACAAATACAAATAAAACATCCTAAAATTTTTTTGAGCAAAGAACCAAGTAGGAAGTATATTTTCAATTTTGGACTAGTGGCGACCCTAGTCAAAATCAATTTTCTCACTTTTTACTTCGAGGGTTTATACAAATGGATTGAAACTTTGTTTAAATATTCTAATGCTTAAAACAAATACAAATAAAACATCCTAAAAATTTTTTGACCAAAGAACCAAGAAGGAAATACATTTTCAATTTTGGACTAGGGGCGACCCTAGTCAAAATCAATTTTGTCACTTTTTACTTCGAGGGTTTATACAAATGGATTGAAACTTTGCATAAATATTCTAGTGCTTCAAGCAAATACAAATAAAACATTCTAAAATTTTTTTGAGCAAAGAACCAAGTAGGAAATACATTTTCAATTTTGGACTAGGGGCGACCCTAGTCAAAATCAATTTTGTCACTTTTTTCTTCGAGGGTTTATACAAATGGATTGAAACTTTGCATAAATATTTTAGTGCTTAAAACAAATACAAATAAAACATCCTAAAATTTTTTGAGAAAAGAACCAAGTTGAAAATACATTTTTAATTTTGGACTAGGGGCGACCCTAGTCAAAATCAATTTTGTCACTTTTTTCTTCGAGGGTTTATCCAAATGAATTTAAACTTTGCATAAATATTTAAATGATTAAAACAAATACAAATAAAACATCCTAAATTTTTTTGGAGCAAAGAACCAAGTAGGAAATACATTTTCAATTTTGGACTAGGGGCGACTCTAGTCAAAATCAATTTTGTCACTTTTTTCTTCGAGGGTTTATCCAAATGGATTTAAACTTTGCATAAATATCCTAGTGCTTAAAACAAATACAAATAAAACATCCCAAAATTTTTCTGAGCAAAGAACCAAGTAGGAAATACATTTTCAATTTTGGACTAGGGGCGACCCTAATTAAAATCAGTTTTCTCACTTTTTTCTTCGAGGGTTTATACAAATGGATTGAAACTTTGTATAAATATTCTAGTGCTTAAAACAAATACAAATAAAACATCTTAAAATTTTTTTGAGCAAAGAACCAAGTAGGAAATACATTTTTAATTTTGGACTAGGGGCGACCCTAGTCAAAATCAATTTTGTCACTTTCTTCTTCGAAGGTTTATACAAATGGATTGAAACTTTGTATAAATATTCTAGTGCTTAAAACAAATACAAATAAAACATCTTGAAATTTTTTTGAGCAAAGAACCAAGTAGGAAATACATTTTTAATTTTGGACTAGGGGCGACCCTAGTCAAAATCAATTTTGTCACTTTCTTCTTCGAAGGTTTATACAAATGGATTTAAACTTTGTATAAATATTCTAATGATTAAAACAAATACAAATAAAACATCTTAAAATTTTTTTGACCAAAGAACCAAGAAGGAAATACATTTTCAATTTTGGACTAGGGGCGACCCTAGTCAAAATCAATTTTGTCACTTTTTTCTTCGAGGGTTTATCCAAATGGATTTAAACTTTGCATAAATTTTCTAGTGCTTAAAACAAATACAAATAAAACATCTTAAAATTTTTCTGAGCAAAGAACCAAGTAGGAAATACATTTTCAATTTTGGACTAGGGCCACCCTAGTCAAAATCAATTTTGTCACTTTTTTCTTCGAGGGTTTATCCAAATGGATTTAAACTTTGCATAAATTTTCTAGTGCTTAAAACAAATACAAATAAAACATCTTAAAATTTTTCTGAGCAAAGAACCAAGTAGGAAATACATTTTCAATTTTGGACTAGGGCCACCCTAGTCAAAATCAATTTTGTCACTTTTTTCTTCGAGGGTTTATCCAAATGGATTGAAACTTTGCATAAATATTCTGGTGTTTAAAACAAATACAAATAAAACATCCTAAAAATTTTTTGACCAAAGAACCAAGAAGGAAATACATTTTCAATTTTGGACTAGGGGCGACCCTAGTCAAAATCAAATTTTGTAACTTTTTTCTTCGAGGGTTTATACAAATGGATTGAAACTCTGCATAAATATTCTAGTGCTTCAAGCAAATACAAATAAAACATTCTAAAATTTTTTTGAGAAAAGAACCAAGTAGGAAATACATTTTCAATTTTGGACTAGGGGCGACCCTAGTCAAAATCAATTTTGTCACTTTTTTCTTCGAGGGTTTATACAAATGGATTGAAACTTTGCATAAATTTTCTAGTGCTTAAAACAAATACAAATAAAATATCCCAAAATTTTTCTGAGCAAAGAACCAAGAAGGAAATACATTTTCAATTTTGGACTAGGGGCGACCTTTGTTAAAATCAATTTTCTCACTTTTTTCTTCGAGGGTTTATACAAATGGATTGAAACTTTGCATAAATTTTCTAGTGCTTAAAACAAATACAAATAAAACATCCTAAATTTTTTTGGAGCAAAGAACCAAGTAGAAAATACATTTTCATTTTTGGACTAGGGGCGACTCTAGTCAAAATCAATTTTGTCACTTTTTTCTTCGAGGGTTTATACAAATGGATTGAAGCTTTGCATAAATATTTAAGTGCTTAAAACAAATACAAATAAAACATCCTAAAAAATTTTTGCCCAAAGAACCAAGAAGGAAATACATTTTCAATTTTGGACTAGGGGCGACCCTAGTCAAAATCAAATTTTGTCACTTTTTTCTTCGAGGGTTTATACAAATGGATTGAAACTTTGCATAAATATTCTAGTGCTTAAAACAAATACAAATAAAACATCTTAAAATTTTTTTGAGCAAAGATCCAAGAAGGAAATACATTTTCAATTTTGGACTAGGGGCGACCCTAGTCAAAATCAATTTTGTCACTTTTTTCTTCGAGGGTTTATCCAAATGGATTTAAACTTTGCATAAATATTCTAGTGCTTAAAACAAATACAAATAAAACATCTTAAAATTTTTTTGAGAAAGGAACCAAGAAGGAAATACATTTTTAATTTTGGACTAGGGGCGACCCTAGTCAAAATCAATTTTCTCACTTTTTACTTCGAGGGTTTATACAAATGGATTGAAACTATGCATAAATATTCTAGTGCTTAGAACAAATACAAATAAAACATCCTTAAAATTTTTTTGAGCAAAGAACCAAGTTGGAAATACATTTTTAATTTTGGACTAGGGGCGACCCTAGTCAAAATCAATTTTGTCACTTTTTTCTTCGAGGGTTTATCCAAATGGATTTAAACTTTGCATAAATATTCTAGTGCTAAAAACAAATACAAATAAAACATCCTAAATTTTTTTGGAGCAAAAAACCAAGTAGGAAATACATTTTCAATTTTGGACTAGGGGCGACCCTTGTCAAAATCAATTGTGTCACTTTTATCTTCGAGGGTTTATCCAAATGGATTTAAACTTTGCATAAATATTCAAATGATTAAAACAAATACAAATAAAACATCTCAAAATTTTTTTGGAGCAAAGAACCAAGTAGGAAATACATTTTGAATTTTGGACTAGGGGCGACCCTAGTCAAAATCAATTTTGTCACTTTTTTCTTCGAGGGTTTATCCAAATGGATTTAAACTTTGCATAAATATTCTAGTGCTTAAAACAAATACAAATAAAACATCTTAAAATTTTTTTGAGCAAAGAACCAAGAAGGAAATACATTTTTAATTTTGGACTAGGGGCGACCCTAGTCAAAATCAATTTTCTCACTTTTTACTTCGAGGGTTTATATAAATGGATTGAAACTATGCATAAATATTCTAGTGCTTAGAACAATTACAAATAAAACATCCTTAAAATTTTTTTGAGCAAAGAACCAAGTTGGAAATACATTTTTAATTTTGGACTAGGGGCGACCCTAGTCAAAATCAATTTTGTCACTTTTTTCTTCGAGGGTTTATCCAAATGGATTTAAACTTTGCATAAATATTCTAGTGCTAAAAACAAATACAAATAAAACATCCAAAATTTTTTTGGAGCAAAAAACCAAGTAGGAAATACATTTTCAATTTTGGACTAGGGCGACCCTAGTCAAAATCAATTGTGTCACTTTTATCTTCGAGGGTTTACCCAAATGGATTTAAACTTTGCATAAATATTCTAATGATTAAAACAAATACAAATAAAACATCTTAAAATTTTTTTGACCAAAGAACCAAGAAGGAAATACATTTTCAATTTTGGACTAGGGGCGACCCTAGTCAAAATCAATTTTGTCACTTTTTTCTTCGAGGGTTTATACAAATGGATTTAAACTTTGCATAAATTTTCTAGTGCTTAAAACAAATACAAATAAAACATCTTAAAATTTTTCTGAGCAAAGAACCAAGTAGGAAATACATTTTCAATTTTGGACTAGGGCCACCCTAGTCAAAATCAATTTTGTCACTTTTTTCTTCGAGGGTTTATCCAAATGGATTGAAACTTTGCATAAATATTCTGGTGTTTAAAACAAATACAAATAAAACATCCTAAAAATTTTTTGACCAAAGAACCAAGAAGGAAATACATTTTCAATTTTGGACTAGGGGCGACCCTAGTCAAAATCAATTTTGTCACTTTTTTCTTCGAGGGTTTATCCAAATGGATTTAAACTTTGCATAAATTTTCTAGTGCTTAAAACAAATACAAATAAAACATCTTAAAATTTTTTTGAGCAAAGAACCAAGTAGGAAATACATTTTCAATTTTGGACTAGGGCGACCCTAGTCAAAATCAATTGTGTCACTTTTATCTTCGAGGGTTTACCCAAATGAATTTAAACTTTGCATAAATATTCTAATGATTAAAACAAATACAAATAAAACATCTTAAAATTTTTTTGACCAAAGAACCAAGAAGGAAATACATTTTCAATTTTGGACTAGGGGCGACCCTAGTCAAAATCAATTTTGTCACTTTTTTCTTCGAGGGTTTATACAAATGGATTTAAACTTTGCATAAATTTTCTAGTGCTTAAAACAAATACAAATAAAACATCTTAAAATTTTTTGAGCAAAGAACCAAGTAGGAAATACATTTTCAATTTTGGACTAGGGCCACCCTAGTCAAAATCAATTTTGTCACTTTTTTCTTCGAGGGTTTATCCAAATGGATTTAAACTTTGCATAAATTTTCTAGTGCTTAAAACAAATACAAATAAAACATCTTAAAATTTTTCTGAGCAAAGAACCAAGTAGGAAATACATTTTCAATTTTGGACTAGGGCCACCCTAGTCAAAATCAATTTTGTCACTTTTTTCTTCGAGGGTTTATCCAAATGGATTGAAACTTTGCATAAATATTCTGGTGTTTAAAACAAATACAAATAAAACATCCTAAAAATTTTTTGACCAAAGAACCAAGAAGGAAATACATTTTCAATTTTGGACTAGGGGCGACCCTAGTCAAAATCAATTTTGTCACTTTTTTCTTCGAGGGTTTATCCAAATGGATTTAAACTTTGCATAAATTTTCTAGTGCTTAAAACAAATACAAATAAAACATCTTAAAATTTTTCTGAGCAAAGAACCAAGTAGGAAATACATTTTCAATTTTGGACTAGGGCCACCCTAGTCAAAATCAATTTTGTCACTTTTTTCTTCGAGGGTTTATCCAAATGGATTGAAACTTTGCATAAATATTCTGGTGTTTAAAACAAATACAAATAAAACATCCTAAAAATTTTTTGACCAAAGAACCAAGAAGGAAATACATTTTCAATTTTGGACTAGGGGCGACCCTAGTCAAAATCAATTTTGTCACTTTTTACTTCGAGGGTTTATACAAATGGATTGAAACTTTGCATAAATATTCAAGTGCTTAAAACAAATACAAATAAAACATCTTAAAATTTTTTTGAGCAAAGAACCAAGAAGGAAATACATTTTCAATTTTGGACTAGGGGCGACCCTAGTCAAAATCAATTTTGTCACTTTTTTCTTCGAGGGTTTATACAAATGGATTGAAACTTTGCATAAATATTCTAGTGCTTAAAACAAATACAAATAAAACATCTTAAAATTTTTTTGAGCAAAGAACCAAGAAGGAAATACATTTTTAATTGTGGACTAGGGGCGTCCCTAGTCAAAATCAATTTTCTCACTTTTTACTTCGAGGGTTTATACAAATGGATTGAAGCTTTGCATAAATATTTTAGTGCTTAAAACAAATACAAATAAAACATCCTAAAAAATTTTTGCCCAAAGAACCAAGAAGGAAATACATTTTCAATTTTGGACTAGGGGCGACCCTAGTCAAAATCAAATTTTGTCACTTTTTTCTTCGAGGGTTTATACAAATGGATTGAAACTTTGCATAAATATTCTAGTGCTTAAAACAAATACAAATAAAACATCTTAAAATTTTTTTGAGCAAAGATCCAAGAAGGAAATACATTTTCAATTTTGGACTAGGGCGACCCTAGTCAAAATCAATTGTGTCACTTTTATCTTCGAGGGTTTACCCAAATGAATTTAAACTTTGCATAAATATTCTAATGATTAAAACAAATACAAATAAAACATCTTAAAATTTTTTTGAGAAAGGAACCAAGAAGGAAATACATTTTTAATTTTGGACTAGGGGCGACCCTAGTCAAAATCAATTTTCTCACTTTTTACTTCGAGGGTTTATACAAATGGA